TTCCTTCTCTTTCTATAACTRGAAGTACACCCCCACCAAACACATTCACCATCTGTTTAATGAATGAACACTTGGAGATCTTGGCATGTAGTTGMGTGATTGCATTCTGCAGCTGCTAGCAAGGATTTGTAGCTGCAGTGAAGACACATTAAAGAGATYATCAAATCCAGAACCTCTTTTTGGACCAACTAAAAAGCCCAAAATAAATCATGTAAGCTGCAATGACTTCTTTATCATGCAAAATATGTTAAAAATCATACAGGAAAAGAAAAGTGACAATAGCAGAATCACGGGTATTGTTTCTGATGAAGTTAAGTTGACCTTGAAAGATCTTAGTGCAAAAAACAGTGAAGATTCAAAAGCAGAGATGATTTTTTTTGTGAGCCCCCCCCCCCCCCACACACACACACACACAAAGAAGGTATCATGGTATTATGGGTTTTGTTGTATTGAAAGACTGTTCCAATAGGATCCTGTCTTTTTCTTTTCACTTTTCTTCTCTGGTAAGATTTCCAGTCACACTTACTTGTCAGCCAGACTCATCATTGTGTGTTAAATGTGTCAAGGATCCCCTAGAATTCTAGTTACTGATATGGAGGGCAGTTAGATCCTCCTTCTTCTTCAGATGTCTCAGGAAAGGAAATTTAAAGGGGCCCTTTACCTCCTTCTTCTGTCCTTTGTTGGGTGGCTCCTATTATTTTGACTGGGGCTTGTGAATTGGGATGCTAGAGGTAAGCACAGATGGCCTATTTGGGTTTCATTGTATATGGCCGATGATAGGATAAGGAAATGGTGCCAATTGGGGCTGGTATCATGATAAAGGGTGGCAGTCCTGTCCACTTGCCTAATAGCAATACCAAGGCAGACCACGCAGATATTCTGTCAAAGTTCCAGTTCCGATTCTCCTGCCCTAGAATCCAGATTTACAAATGCAGATCTCACAAAAGCAGAAATGCTGATACCCACCCACCCATCAGTCATTCTCTGTATCAGCTGGTGCTAGCAATTCGTAAAAATGTGCCACACTAAACTAAAGCATTAACATCTGCTTTCTTTAGTGATCTTCCCAGCCAAGCAGTTGGTTGACTTTGGTGATGGCACACAGTAAATGTCACAGTATCGAAATCTGTTCTTCCTTGAATTAGCATCATACCAGTTTTCTTCTTTAACGCTCATCCTGGGAAATCACCACCCTAATCCTTTTGGCCGGGAATATATAAATAAAGTATTAGCTGCAATATACCCCAGAACTGCTGCCTTGTTTTCATATGAATCCTTTCTGGTTCAAGAAAAGAGGTTGTGTCCATTTAAAATCTTATCATTTTAACAATTCACTGGCAGATAAATGGAATTAATGTGTTGAATTAATTAGCAGGTCAGATGTCAGTGAAAAAAATAGATGAACTGACATCAGTCTGAGACCAAGTTAATTCCGTAAGTGACCATAGTTTTTATCTCTTTATATTCTCGGTAGAGAGTCTTGTGCCTGATGCATCATTTATTGCATGGCAAGGATTCTCAAGAATACCTTTATTAAAAGCAGGTTTATTGTTCTTATTATAGTGTGGTACATTACAAAATATTCAAGCAAAATCTACAATTGCTTGCAAGGGTTATTCACACATAGACTTTTCTTCTATCTGTGGATTGTTCCAGTTGTAGCAGCTAAGTTTGGTTACAAAACTACCCAACATTTAAACATGTTGTTTGTAACTATGTTGTTCTTTACTATTAAAAAACAAACTTTTAGGAAAATACCTCAACATTTGGGTTTGGAAAAAATCTGTGTGGGAGATTTTAAAGTGGATATAAGTGATTTTAGTGTTTGTGTATATTTATGGTTTTATGTCCTGGCATTGAATGTTAGCCGTATATATGTTGTGCTCCGCCCTGAGTCCCCTGAAGCTTTCACTGCACAAGGAAAGTGGCTTCAATGTTGTTATTTGGAAGTTTATTGGCTAGTTACTTCATCATATTCTCAKCCCCCCCCCCCCTTTGTCTATAAAAGGCAATCTGGTGGGTCAGTGGCTGCAGAATAGAATAGAAATGTTTTAAATAAATAAATCATTGCAAAAGGTTTTCTAATCTGAAGCTTTCACTGCACAAGGAAAGTGGCTTCAATGTTGTTATTTGGAAGTTTATTGGCTAGTTACTTCCTTGTGGGCAAACCAAACAGCTGCATGTAAATTGGATACATTGACATGAATGCTGTATTGTGAGTGTGGATTTTCTTGGTACAGAACATAGATAATGAACATCCTTGTTTATACTCAGAAAATGCATTTAATAATTGTCTGTTAGTCTCTGGGGCTGACTGTTAGTCTGTGGGGGGTAGTACTTAAAAAAAGGATTTTCCCCAAGCTTTGTGATAACTGAAGAGGTGCAGGTCCATTATAGTATCACAAAACCTAAAATAGCCCTTGTCCTTAAGCAGGGGTGGTCATGTGATGGGTCCAATGCACTTTCCTATCCATGGCATGCTTCCCAGGATACACAGACCTAGAAAGACATGGAAATAGAAAGATTTGCTGGAATCTGTCCCTTCCTCTTCCTCCTCCTCTTTTTGTGGTATTTTTAAAAATGTGGTATTTTTTAAAATGTGGAACTGGAATTTATTTCAGAGTGAATCACAATTCCTAGAGGCTTCCAGGAAAGGTACTTCATCATATTCTCAACCCCCCCCCCCCCTTTGTCTATAAAAGGCAATCTGGTGGGTCAGTGGCTGCAGAAGTGCCATTTCCTGTTTAAAATAACCACGTGCAAATTTTGCACAGTATAGGTRCCAAACTGCAAAGACTGACAGGTTTCTCTATCAGGGAAATATGAACTGGAAATGTGCTTTTGAGCATTTTTGTGTTATTGACATCTTCACTTTTTCAATAAAAAAACCCCTAAGGTGTGAATTTTACACTGAATAAGTGCTGAACAGTGAATAGTTTTGAACTGTGAAGTATTTGAAGACAGCAGAATGGCAATTGTTAAACTTACTAATTGCTTCCTCCAAGGATGAAATGTACACAACTCCCCTGTTACATCAGCTCAACTGGCTGCCAATCTGCTACTGACCACAATTCAAAGTGCTGGCTTTTTCCTATAAAAGCATAAATGGTTGCAGCCCAGCTTACCTGTCCAAACGTATCTCCCTCTATGAACCACCTCAGAGGTTAAGACCTTCTGGGAAGACCCTGCTCTAGATCCCACCTCCATTGCAAGTGTGGTTAGTGAGGACAGGTCCTTCTCAGTGGTGGCTCCTTGGCTCTGGATTTTTCTCCCCAGTGAGATTAGATCAGTGTCCTTCCTCCAGTGCAAAGAATAATTAGGGAATATGTGCAATCACAATTGGAATGGCTATGGTGTATGATTTTTGGATCATGTGATTTTAATATTTATATTGGGATGTTTTTAATGCTTTGCCTTAATGTTTGGATGTTGTTTATGTCTTCTGTTTAATGTTTTAATGATTTTAAACATTAAAACATAAAAACATTAAACATGTTGGCATTGGAGTTTTGCCATTAGTATGCTGTAAACTGCCTTGAATCTCCCCAGGGATGAGAAAGGCAGTATATAAATACAGTAAATACTAAATAACTAAATACAGAGATTAACATCACAGAAGTGATTATATGTATCTGGCCTTTTTAGAAATGAATTCATAGCAGAAACAAACCTATGTCATTTTTACACTACTCTTCATGGAAGAGGAAAAATGCAAAGTACACACAAAAATGAAGTTTTTATTTTGATTTAAGTAAAGGAGAACAAGTTTTCCCTTTCTTGCCTCCAACACCTGCTTCTCTCAGACTCTATCTTAAACTCCCTTCTATATTAAACTCCTTTCTGTCCATGGTGTTGCTGAGCTGCTGTCCCATGTGGGCACACTGACAACAGTTCATCAGCCTTAACTTGTCCTTGATTCTCCTTCCTAGACTTTCTAAGCGAGGCCATTTGGCGTCAGTCTGCTGGCCGCCATGCTTGTATCTTGCTCTGTGTTCTCAGAGATGATGATTGAGTTGAAAAATTTCCTTCCTATGCATGAACACTTTGCAAAACAAAGTGTTCATGCATTTTCCGATTGAACTCTGCCCAAGTATATGAATACAGAACTAAGAAACAAAGATTATCTGGATATATTCTATCAGCAAGCCTAACAGTTGTGATGTTGTTTGTAATACACATAAGTAGGGTGACTGGGATGTTAAAGGCATCTCTATTGTTATAAGTATGCACTAAAAGATGTAATCTGTTTTTTCTGTTGTTTGAACAAAGAGATTGTGGGTAAGGCACAACAAGAGTGCTTGAAAATAATGTATCTGTATTAAAATAGTTATTAATATTTTTCTTTGATCTGACAATGCCTGCAGTTTGGTTCTAGTTTTAAAAAAAATGTTTAGTTGTTCTGTGCTTTTGGAAATAAATCAGAACATCCTTTGAACCACCCAAAATCCTCAAAGCAATTTTCAGTCTATGCTTGGGCCGAGATCTTCTTCATTATTAGTGTAATGTAAATATGTGGCATATGCTCAGGTTGTGGAGCTATCTCTATATTTTGGACAGTTTCTTGAAGAGTTTACAGATGTCCTTGCTATGCCAAGGAGTCTGCTTTACTCTGGCGGTTCAAACCCAGGGAGTGGGGTGAGCTCCAGTCTGTCCGCTCCAGCTTCTCATGCAGGGAGATGAGAGAAGCCTCCCACAGGATGGTAAAACATCTGGATGTTCCCTAGGCAATGTCCTCGCAGATGGCCAATTCTCTCACACCAGAAGTGACTTGCAGTTTCTCAAAAAAGTATCGCAGAAAATGTAACTGTTTATGCAGTATCTATCTTCAGTGTAACTAGCTGCAGTTAGGATAGTGCTGTTATGCTACTTGCTAGAAAATGCTGACATCTGCATAATTGTTTTTATGCTAGCATAGTGCATCAATAGGGTACTGATCTTCCTTTCATGAGCTATTGGAAGTATGGATCCTGTTGCCAACTTTTCTGTTTCCTCCATTTCAGCTGGGATGAGAGCAGTTCCATCAGCAGTGGCCTCAGTGATGCCTCAGACAATCTCAGCTCAGAAGAATTCAATGCCAGCTCCTCCCTCAATTCATTGCCTTCTACTCCTACAGCTTCCCGCAGGAACTCTGCCATAGCGGTAGGTAGTCTGCAAATACTCGTGGTGCATCCAGAAGCTAGTATTTTTGTGTTCTATTCAACAGAGTTGAAACTGGAGAAGGAATCTAAATGGAATCAGTACTTCTTATTTCTCTACTGTTTAGTTTGAAATGTAATCATTACAATTTTATTAATTTTTATGCATATTGACTTTTTATGTTGAGTATGTATATCTTTATGAAGATCAGGTAACAGAAAATAGAAGTGAACTTTAATTTAAGGTACTGGAGAATCACTGCTGGTCAGAATAGACAATATTGGGTTAAGAGGACCAATAGTCTTATTTGGTGCAAAACAACTTCCTTTGTATTTAGAAGGCTGGGGAGTGTTATGTTGTGAGGGAATCAAAACTAACTCCATCTCATTGTGGTACTTACCTTACAGCTGCGCACAGACTCTGAGAAGCGATCGCTGGCAGAGAGTGGACTGAATTGGTATGGTGAGCCAGAGGAGAAAGCTCAGAAGAAGATGGACTATGACAGTGGGAGCCTGAAAATGGAGCACAGTTCCTCCAAGTGGCGACGAGAGCGCTCTGAAAGCTGTGATGAGGTTCCTGCTAAAGGCGGGGAGCTGAAAAAGCCTGTCAGTTTGGGCCCACCAGGTTCCTTGAAAAAGGGCAAGAATCCCCCTGTGGCAGTGACTTCCCCCATTACCCATACAGCTCAGACCCTCAAAGTGGCAGGTGAGGCTGGAGCAGAGAGTGTAGCTGTCTGTTTACTTTGTGTTCTTCTGGTGAGGCATTGAAGGAGCCACAATTTTACAGGCAATCCTCGAATTACAAAAATCCAAGTTACAAACAATTCATAGTTAGGAACTGGGATAAAACAACAGGAAGTGAGAGAATTCTACCCCTAGGAAGAGAAATTTACTCCTGAAAGAGTTATTATGTGGAAAAGGTGGCTCCTCTGAAGCTTTATCACCAATCCTTGTTTTCACAACAAGCCAAGTGAGTTGAAATTTTCTAAACAAGGGCACAGACAGCAAAACAAAATTCGCAGGAGTGTTAACTTTTGCTGATGCTATCCAAAGCTTATAGTTAAGGTAAAGGTTTTCCCCTGACATTAAGTCCAGTCGTGTCCGACGCTGGGGGCTTTCTAAGCCGAAGAGCCGGCGTTGTCCGTAGACACTTCCAAGGTCATGTGGCTAGCATGACTGCATGGAGTGCCATTACCTTCCTGCCAGAGTGCTACCTATTGATCTACTCACATTTGCATATTTTTGAACTGTTAGGTTGGCAGAAGCTGAGGCTAACAGCGGGAGCTCACCCCACTCCCCAGATTTGAACCTGCAGCCTTTTGGTTAGCAAGTTCAGCAGCTCAGAATTTAACCCACCGCACCACTGGAGGTTCCCCGTATAATATATATATATATATATATATATATATATATATGGGGGGAGGGAGAGAGAGCGGGCTGGAGTTGCACTTAAAATGCAACATATATACAAATCCAGCTTAAGAACAAATCTACAGAACCTATCTTGTTTGTAACTTAGGGATTGCCTGTATTCATGACATTGTATCTGAACTGGCACAGTTTCTTCAGATGAATGTTGACATCTGTGGCTGCTAATGCATATGGCAAATTATATTTTGTGCTGAGCAAATAGAAATCACTAGTAGTGCTTGTAATTTCTTACACAAACATCCTTGAGATTTTTGCATATTTGCTTACATTCATTGCTTTCTGTTGGAGTTCAGAGAAAGAGGGAGTTGGGTTTGCAGTCAGCAAAGTATCAATACTGTAATTTAATCAACTTTGTGTCTTCCACTTTGAGCATGATAGATGGAAAGTTAAGGGGGGTTTTGAGTCAAATCTATCTTTCCTGTCAAGAAGGAAAAAGTTTGACAGTTACACTGGATCCTTTTTTACTCTTTCTTTCAGGTAAACCTGAAGCAAAAGCTACAGACAAGAACAAGTTGTCTGTGAAGAATGCTGGCCTGCAACGCTCTTCTTCTGATGCTGGCCGAGATCGGATTTCAGATGCCAAGAAACCTCCTTCTGGGCTCACACGAACCACCACTTCTGGTTCCTTTGGGTACAACAAAAAGCCACCTCCCGCAACTGGCACTGCCACAGTGATGCAAGCCGGTGGGTCAGCCACACTTGGCAAGATCCAGAAGAATTCCAGCATCCCTGTCAAGCCAGTCAATGGCAGGAAAACCAGCCTGGATGTCTCCAATGCTGGGGAACCTGGTTTTATGGCCCCTGGGGCCCGTACCAACATCCAGTATCGGAGCCTACCACGCCCAGCCAAATCTAGCTCCATGAGTGTGACTGGTGGCCGTAATGGTCCACGGCCTGTCAGCAGCAGCATTGACCCCAGTCTTCTCAGCACCAAAGGGGGGATCTCTGTCTCACGACTCAAGGAGCCCTCTAAAATTGGCACAGGTCGGAGCACACCAGTGCCAGTGAATCAGACTGACAGGGAGAAAGAGAAAGCCAAAGCCAAAGCTGTGGCACTGGACTCCGATTGTGTCTCACTTAAGAGTATTGGCTCCCCTGAAAATACTCCAAAGGGTCAAGTGGGCCACCAGGCTCCTGCCAAAGTTGCTGAGCTGCCACCAACACCACTTAGGTAGGAACTGTGTGGATTTCTAAGGATGCCTGAAAACCGACTTGCTTTTCTGTTATCAGACTGTATACAACAAGAGCACTTTTCTCCTGTTGTGGAAACAAGAATGCTTGCCATTTGTTATCAGAAGGGTATTATTTATTAATTAAAAATGTTTGTATCCCACCATATGTTGTGTGATCTCAGGGCAGGGTCTGAGTAAAAACACATTAAACAGTTCAATTGTAATTTAAGTTTTTGAACAATAGAAATAATTGAAACAGATGAAAACAAGTTGGAACAACTTAAGAGGTTAAAACAGTTAAAGCAGTGTATATGTAGTTTTGGAAAAAATATGTTAGGCTCCAAGGCTTTTGCAAAAAGACATGTTTTGACGTGGTGCCAGAAAGAAACCCAGATCAGCACAAGTTATACCTTCTGACTGATTCTTGAATGCCATACAGTGACTTGTTGGGACAAAACAGTGATCTTTAAGTAGAGAGACTTCATGTTACAATTGTAAATAATTCCAAATGCGAACTGTTTGTTCTTGGCCATATCTTTGGATGTAACTTGACATGAGTATGATGAGTACCAAACAGGTGAAAGTGACTTTTATGACTATGCTATGTTGAGATGCCAAGGTCCTGCCAGTTCCTTCAGACTTCAGCTCCCACCCCATACATGATAGTCTTACAGTTGTGATGGTTTCGCTGCTGTTACAGAAAGGTCTGTTCATACTGGCATGGCTAGAATTCTGTAAAAGGTATTCTCCCCATGCTTTGCTTTGTTGTCAGAATTGCTAGAAGCACACTGTTTTTAAAATGAAAGTTCCTGTTCCCAAAAGTTCTCTAATCTTATATCTGGGTTTTATTTTTGTGCCACAATTTACATTAAACAATGAATGATGTGTCATTGGTTATGGAAAATCCTAGCCCTCTGCTCATAGCTGTATCCCAATTCTCTCTTCTTCTCCTGTAGATCGGCTGCCAAAAGCTATGTAAAAGCCCCTTCTTTGGCCAACTTGGACAAGGTGAACTCCAACAGCCTGGATCTTCCTTCTTCAAGTGAACTGCACCAAATGCATGGAGGCAAACTGCAGGAGGCCCACCTGACTGCAGTGAATGTGGGCAGCCACATTACATCATGCTTCACGCCAAGCCCTGCTCCAGTCCTCAATATTAATTCTGCTAGCTTTTCCCAGGGCCTGGAGCTCATGGGTGGCTTCAGCATCCCCAAGGAAACCCGCATGTACCCCAAGCTTTCGGGCTTACACAGGAGCATGGAATCCTTACAGATGCCTATGAGCCTGCACAGTGCCTTCTCAGCAGGCAACACAACAGGCCCTACAACTTCTCCTACCCCACCTGTTGCTGCCGAAGAGGAGCCCAGTGAGATGGCCTGGACAGGAAGCCCCAGGATCTCACATCTGGAGAGGTAGAAGAAAGGGAATGGGGTAGCTTTTATCTGATAGCATGCCCCATTAGATCTTGGGAGGTTTTAGAAAGCAGGGCTGGGGAATCTTTGGGACCCTTGGTACTACAGCTCCCACAATCCCTTGCTAGAACATCTGGAAAATGAAGTTTAAAACATAAAGCTCCCACCCCTTTCATAAAGCAGATACCAATCCCTGTGATTAAATTCTCATGGCACCCCCAATAAAAGGAGGTGAAGGTAAAGTGATGGAACACCAGTGCAGTGTGGGATCATTATAGAAAACCTAAAGAAGCCCTTTTTTTCAGGATACGAGGCAAATTCTAATAGCATCACTGGTGCAAATACAAAATATAGGTTCTTCATTTGAATATGGTTTGCATTCCCAAATCTTCCTAACTTCTTCTCTATTATGAAGCACAGCTGTACGCAAGCATCTAATTAGCAAATACTTTTATTCACTTCCTTCCCTTCAGCTCTAATCGTGACCGGAATACATTGCCGAAGAAGGGACTAAGGTAATCCTTTTTTCCATCCTACCATTTTTCACTATGGTTTTGCCAGGATATGATGATCAGCCAAAGCAATTCCAGTGTTTGTCAGAAATGAATACTGTGTATAATTCTGAGTCTTCTGTTTATCATCTTAAGCTGGGAACCTGAGCTGTTGTGGTATTCCAGAGGCAGGGACCCATAGTAAATCAATTTGCTATGCTAGTTTATAAAGTGGCCCACCCTGTTTCTGTTCGGATAAAAACAGACGAAGATCTGGTTACATCTTCATGTCTTGCTTCTATTGCTTCTATACATCTGATGGGAGGAGCAGCGGCTTTGCCATTTCTCTGGAGCAGAAATCCTTGTAAATGTCATTCCTTATGAATGGCTTGTTTTATTTGTTGTTTTCTGAAGCCTGCAGTAGAATTGAGGACCGTGCACAACAGAGCATTATTTATAAATAATGTGCACAAGAATGAAATATTGTGCAGAGAACTGTATATTTTACTGTTAACAGAAAATTGTGCCCTGTATTGATCGCCTTAACTATGTTAAAAGATTTACTGGGATTTCTGCATGGATGAAGAGATTTCAGTAAAATGTTAACAGGTTGATGTGTGTAGATTGACACCCTCAAATTCCAATTAGTTAATAGTTCCCAGTGATCTGTACTTCTTCTGTTGCTATAGATCAGAGGCGGGGATCATGAGGCCCTCCAGGGATGTCAGCTTCCACCAATCAAACAATAGTGGGAATTTTGGGAGATTCAGTCCAGCAATATCTCAGTGGGCACACGGTTCCCACCTTGTTATACAATGTGCAAAGATGTCTGAATCCAAGCTTGGTCCCTTGATATTTCCATTAATCTGGTCTTAATTAGCTACTTTGATTATGATCATGGTGACTGGCTAATTAAACTGCACTTTAAACCAATTTTAGGATGACCTTCTTTCAAAATTCTGCTTGTCTCATTCTATTCCTCTCTCCCTTGGTTTTGGCAGGTATCAAGTCCAGTCCCAGGAGGAAGCCAAGGAGAGGCGGCATTCCCATACAATTGGAGGGCTACAGGAGTCAGATGACCAGTCTGAGCTGCCTTCCCCCCCTGCTCTCTCCATGTCATTGGTTGGAAAGGCTCCACTCACTAATATTGGTTGGTTTTCCCTTCTTATCTGTTTTCCCATGAAACAAAACTTGGAAGTCAGTTCATTCATGTTGAAACAGATGCCAGTTTATATTTTTCTGAGACCCCTTCCTTGTAATTTTCTTCTTTCTAAACCAGGCATGGGAGTTGTGTGACTCTCTAGATCAGGGTTGGGCAAATGTTGAAGGGTAGCAGGTTGCCTCAGTCCCATAGGAAACTTTGGAGGGCTTCACCTACTCACCACATCCACTCCTGTCAAACAAATAGAAGAAACATTTGCCCTTTAGAGGACAAGGGTGCATTTCCACCGAGTTGTGGGAGCCTGCTGAACCATTGTAGACCTATGAGAGACTTTTTTTAAGAGCAGAAAGAGGGCAGAAATAATTTCCTTTTTCACTTTCTGTCTCAAAAAATCCATGTTGGATTCAAAACATGGTAGAAATCACACTCACTATTTTACAAAAATTTTGTTTGAACAGTGAAGGAGCCCAATGAGTTTCCAAACAATGGAAATGCCCTCTTATATATCATGGCGGACCTTTGAAAATATTTGAAAGTATTGAAAATATTCACAAATTTGGAAAAAAATATTGAAACAAACATTATTAGGGGGTCATTTGGAGAACACAAAAATCCCTCTGGTCCTCAATCCAGCCTTCAGGCTGCACTCAGGATGATCTTATTGGCCATTATAATTGTACAAATAAGAAAAAAAAACAGGGAGTACCATGTTGATATAGTGCTAATTAGTAATATTAGCACTACGACGTTAGTTATTAGTGCTAATACGGTGTTACTATTTTAATGTAGTCCTAAGCTGTTATTTCATTGTATGTTCTCATTGAAATGTTTGTTTCATGAAGATTTTTTTCAGCTAAGCATATTGCACAAAGCAAAGTTGTTTCTCCTCTTTTCTTCTGAATCCTGTGCAGTGGTTGGGGTTCAAACAGAATGTATAAATGATCTGGAGGCTGATTTTTTAAAGAAGATTCCAGAAAACTGGGAAATAATTCCCACAAAACACAACACAGACAAGCTTTCATGCCTTGGTAGGAAGCAAGCTATATAATCCTTTAGTTTGTGTAAGCAAACTTAAAGGAATTCCCAATCTGATTTAGCTAAAGTTTAGGCATAAACCTTTCACATACCCTTCCTCTCCTGCCTGTGCTGCCTCCCATCAAGCTTAAGCGGCTGTGGGGGGAAAGGACGGTGCCTGAGGCTGTAAGGAATTGTGGGACTTGAAGTCCAAAACACCTGGAAGGCCTAAGTTTGCCCATACTTGTTTTATGCCAATTCCCCAGATCCACTTCTTTTAACTCAATATAACATTGGAGGGTCCAGGAACAAAATGTGGGACTTTTCAATCAGTCTGAATGCACCCAGAGACAAAGAGTTGAGGGAGGACTAAGTATTGGCCAAATAATTTTCTTACTCTTTTCCCAAAATAATGGTAATCATTATAACCTGGGCCTTTCTGGTTTTTATGTGGGTTAATTTTGAAAGAAGCCAGACTTTTTGGCAATAGGCTCTACCAATATAGTTATATAAGCTAATTGGAGAGTTTATTAAACATATATAATGAGGGGCTTTTATCTAAGGTTTAGTTCAATCAGTTTGGGAAACTTTCCAGAGTTTGATCCCAAGCTAAACAATTATATGACTCCCTTGTGCAAAAATCCAAAGACATATATGTGTTAGTCTGGAATATCAGTATGTAAAGGAATTTTGTAATAGGCACTAATAGGGAACAAAGCTGTTGACAGTAAGCTGTCACAGATGAAAGCTCCTGATGAAATAAATTAACTCTGTGTCTACACGGGGCAAATAAAATGTTCTGTACTAACCTTACAATCACTACAAGCAGTCCACATGACATATAATCAGTTCCACAACAGAAGCACTGCTCCCACAACAGAAGAACTGCTTCCAGCCATTAAGCTGGTACAAAAACTGCAAGTTACTCCAGAGCTTCCTGAAGTGTACCTGGTGCTTTCTGATATGTAAACATCTGGATTAGGCTGAATCTGGGGTGACTCACCACTTTTTCACTGACTAGAAGCAACTCCTTGGCAACGTCATTTCATGTGATCACATGGCTTGGTGCTCTATTGTGGCTTCACTGGAAGCAACTTCTCCAGCAATGCCCTGCCAGGGAGCTGCTTGGAGCTTCTTCTGGCTGGTGAAATAATGGAGGCAGAAGTCCCAAGGAGGACAAGGCACCTGTGCTGATGTGCTCTCAGCCCATCTGGCCATCTTGACTGCAAAAAGACTTTAGGGCACTTCCATGCCACTAGTTTGTGCTGTATCTTTGTGCTATATCCAGAGCAGACTGCTTTATTATTTAGCCTGGTGTAGATAAAACCAAAGTCTACAAAGGTTTATGCTACCAACTGGTTATCCCAATTAGCCTCTAAGATGCTACAAGGTCCCTTTGCAAAAGCTCAGTTCTCTTGAGTTTTGAGTATGCACACTGAGCATTTGCAGAGCTTCAGATGATTTCTCATTTGTGCTGTGACCTTGAGTAAAACTCACCAAAGTGTCTTGAGATCACAAAGAAAAACACATTTGTCTCCCCACCTCTCTTTTTTCTCCCCAAAGTGGAAAGTAAATTCCACAGGTTGATTGTGAACTTTTCTTCCATAATGTGGGTATGTATATGCATTGAAAGGTATGCAGATGATTTCTCATTTGGCACTCATTTGGATTTCTCATTCCAAATAAACTATGGAGATTATATTCTGCATATTGAAGCACACTTATTAGTGCACAGCTAAATGAAGCAGTTTATTTTTTTGCATCATTCATGTTTTTCTATCCTTCCTGTTCACTGTGGTTAAATTCCTCTTCATCCTACTCCAGCCTATGAAAGGAAAGGGAATTATAGTATGCAGTCTCAAGATGTGAGTGAATGAGCCAGTGTAAATTACTGTCTCTTTACATTGGAGTAAGAAATAGAGGCAAGTTTTGTATATTGTCCCCACAGTTCTCCCAGCTACTCCAAGCATAAACTTGTATGAATGATACAGTAACATAGGTATCAAACCAAGGCTTGCATGCCAGCTGTGGTCTGTTTTTGCTCCTCTTGCCTTTACCTTCTATCTCCATCCTGGCTATGATCCCTCTTTCCTGCAGCACCCCTAGTTTCCCAGACTCCATCCCTGGCTTTGAGCTGCTCTGATTAGCCTCTCCTGTCCTGCCCCCTTCTCCTGCAGTGAGTCCCACGGCAACCAACACCCCGAGGATCACCCGCTCTAACAGCATCCCCACTCATGACTCCACCTTTGAGCTGTACAACGCCTCCCCTATGGGCAGCACCCTCTCCCTGGCAGACCGGCCCAAGGGCATGATCCGATCAGGCTCTTTTCGCGACCCTGTGGATGATGGTGAGAGTCCTGCACCCAGCCAGGAGGACAAGAGTCTCCTCCTCAGTAATAATGGTGAGAGGGATACAGTCACAACACATTCTGTCCATCATGTCTTCAAAAGAGCACAGGATGCTTTGGCAGGTGGCTGGGGCACCCGGGGGAACTGTTACTTTCTCAATGGGGAGGCAATGTGCCATGGTAGAGGTAGGGGTGGAAGTTCTGAGTGGATATAGCCAGTACCCATCATTTTCCTCCTGCATGACCAGCAGATCTATCACCAGGACTTGGTAGGTAGGCACCCTATGTGGTTCAAAATACCAGTCCTCCCATTTTGCTGCAAGCTCTCTTTTTCTCCTTTTTCAAAATATATATTCATGCTGGATCTGTGTAGTCCATATGAAGAAAACATGCTGCATATGGCGATAATGGTGTAATCGTCGGGGAAAGGGATGAGTTATGGTTGGGTTTGCAGAGGAGTTATGTTTGGATTGGTAGTTGCTGCATTGGGATGGGGATAACCCTCTGGGAAAGCCTGGATCTTTGAAAGGGTGTGGGGAGCAGGTTTAAGCCCTGAGTGGAAGCACCCTTAGTATGTTCACTAAAAGGATTATAAGCAAGGACTAGCAAAAGAATCTCACCTCTTTTCCTAAATACTCAGATTTCTCATCAGATTTCCCCAATTTGGCATCATAAGAGTATTGACTCTGGATGCTTTTCGTGCCGGTCTTGCTCTTTTGCATCCCTGGTGTCTAGGTTCTCATCCTTGCCCTAATACCTCTGTATGCTAATGCTCCCTAGGCCTTTCCTGTGACCAATTGTTCTCCCTTCCTTGGCCATGAGTTGCCCCATGACCCACCTTTCTCTCTTCCTTTTATTACAGTTCATGGATCCGTGCTGTCCCTGGCATCCAGTGCTTCCTCAACATACTCCTCAGTAAGCTGTATTCCCTACTTCACTTGACCTATTCCATCCTTTTGGTTCTTTGTGTTGACTTTCAGCAGCCACCCTATGGTCTAATCTATTCAAGTGGGGTGGAATGGAAAGCTGCTAATTCAGAACATGGCATGTCATATCTGCAAGATCGGGAACAGTATCTGAGTTACATTGCCACAGGGAGGGTTATGGGATGTGTGCATGTGGTGAATGCAGAGACTTGATGTTGGTGATTGGCCTGGGCTCTCTGCATGGCTGCCTGCCTGTGGCTGGAATGACTCCGCTTCTTACACCCTAACCACCTCCCTCTCTGTCTCTCCTCTGCCCCATCACGTGCTGCCAGGCTGAGGAGAGGATGCAGTCTGAGGTACAGTAAGATCTTCTCTTTCCACCCTGCCACGCCACTGTGTTGCTCTTGACCGTTGGTGGAGAGCCAAGGGCTTTCCTGCTTCCTAACTGTCCTCTTTCCCCCCTTTCCCTCTCCTGCAGCAAATCCGTAAACTGCGCCGTGAGTTGGAGTCATCCCAAGAGAAGGTGGCCACACTCACTTCCCAGCTCTCAGCCAATGTGAGTTGCCTTGTGTTGTCTGTCTTGGCACAGGTGCCTCTTGGCAGAAGTGATATGTATAGAGGAAGATAGTTTGTTGACATTACAAAGGTAGCCTTGCAGTCCCTAGAAGCCCTCCACCAAATCTAGAACATATTCCAGCTCCGATATTTAGAAATGCACTCCACTTGGATGTTCAGCTTCTGAATAAACCACTTGAGACTTGGGTAGGATATGGACTGTTCTGAATGTCCATGGTAGCCATGTAGTCCAGAGCTCTAATCTGGTTGCCTTGTGGCAAATCCCAGAAAATGATCACAGGAAACTGGGAAGTGGTGCATGTTCTGATGGAAGGGACTTTTATATACTTAGCATGTAATGACAGCACCCTCTAGTGGATACTTCCTGTTTTACTCATGCACTGTTTCTGAGTTTTCTCTTCAGGATCGTAGGGTGTTTCTGCTCACTGTAGAATCAATGCAGTTTGACACCATTTTAACTGCTGTAGCCCAATGCTATGTAATTATAGGATTTATAGTTCTTTAGCCATCTTTACCAAAGAGTGTTGATGCCTCACCAAACAACAACATCTATGATTTCATAGAATTGAGCTACAGCACTTAAATGGTGTCAAACTGTATTCATCCTGCAATGTAGACACACAATTTTAAAAAAAGAATGGGATTTTTCTGAGATTGTTAGGTGATAAGAATTTAATCTGGGACCTTTTGTGTTAATTTCACATACAGGAGTCTATAAACTGTGATCCATCTTTATTAGTCAACATCATCTGGACTCTCCTTCCCCTATTTCCCCAAGAGACAAGATTATGTTTCTGAATTGTTCTTGTTTATCTGCAATGTAGTATGAAATCAGAAGTCAGGGGTGGGGTGAGGAAGCTTTTGCTCCTCTATTCGGCCCCAAGCAGGACAGAAAACAAGCTCTAGCCCTCTTCACTACTCAGAATTGGCAGGAGATGGAGTACATCAGGCTGCTGCACCCAACAGGTACTCCAGTGCAGGACTAGCTCTGGTATCGCCACTTTCCCACTACAGTTCAGACCTGGATAAGGAGAGACATGTCAGCAGGACTCTAAACTCTATAAAGTAGAAACACAAACCATCAATGTTTGTTTCCTCACTCTAGTTTCAATTATGGTCGGTCTTTAGAGAACACTTTATGTTTCTGCACCTTCTTCCTGACAATCAGAGAATCACAATAGAGCCAAGGCTTCAGCAGAACATTGATGCAAGCAATGGTTGGAAATATCCACCTTCTTGTTGAGAAAACCTAGGATTCTTCACTTCTCTCTGTGTTGGGAAGAAGCAGTCAAGATTATCACAGCATGTCTTAACGAACTGTCACCCCTCCCCCCCCCCAATACTGTTTCTTTGAGTAACGATGTTCTTACTTAGTGTTTTGGCCTGATAATCTCTTCCTTTTTTCACAGGCTAACTTAGTAGCTGCCTTTGAACAGAGCCTGGTGAACATGACATCCCGTCTCCGACAGCTTGCAGATACTGCAGAAGAGAAGGTAAGTCCTATGAAAATACCTCTGCTTCCCTGAGTTTCTTCATCTTTTTCTACCAAATTCCCATCAATATCACATTTCTCAAGATCAATTATGCTGTCTGTTAAATATATACTGATCTGTCTCACAGGGATCTGGACACAAAAAAGTAAAAAAAAAGATTATTTATTATACATCCACGTAGAGTTGAATAATTTTTGAATTACATCTATACTAGAAATGCAGCTGAAAGCAGAACTGTCCACCCAGGGAAGGGAAGTTTTCTGTTGCCTGATGCCAGAACTTGCTGCGGGTTTTGTTTGTTTTTTGCACAAAACAATTCTTTCTTCCAATGACTTGTTCCTCTCTATAATGCAAAGGATTTTGAAATGCAAGCAAATTTATATTGAGTCCGAAGCAGGAAGTGCAACTAAAGGAATATTAAAAGGCCTTTTTTCTTAAATACTCATATCTGATCACACTGAAGATTGTTAATGGACAACAGAGCATGCCTTTCCTCTAGGCTTAGGTTGATTCATAGTACACAATTGAGTCCCTGAAAGAAAATAGATTATTTGGGCTTTTTCTTGTCAATTGCTCTTGGCAAGGATGCCTAGCTGTGGTAGCAGAGGCTCTTGCTTTCTCTTAGAATATTTGCATCCTACCCTTTATCTGATGATCTCAGAGGGGCTTATAATAAATCAATTTCAAACTGTAAATAATAACTAAAGTTTTGAAAAAGATTAAAAATACATGAAATAGTTTATCAATTTAAAGCAGACTACTAAAAAATCTTGAATGATAAAACCATAAACCATGTGCAGCCTTGATAAAATAAGTTTGGCCTGAAGGCTTTAATTGAAAGCCTCAATGACCGAAATAAATGATTTGATAATTGAAAGCCAAGTTTCAACTTGGCTCTGAAATGATTCCAAGTTTGATGCTAATTGGACCTCCGGGGTAGGAAATTCCATAGCAAGGGTGTCACCACTGGAAAGGCACTCCCCCATGTTCTCTCAAATGTATTTCCCCTACTGAAGGGACACAGAGGAAGGCCTCTCTGATAGATCTCAATTATTGGGCAGAGTGAGAGACAGACACACAGAGAGAGAATGAGAATGAGAGAGAGGTGCTACCTCAAGTAGGTCCCAAGCCATTTAGGTTCCAAGGTGTTTACGGATTTATCTCACACCAGAAACAACTTACAGTTTCTCAAGTCACTCCTGACACACAAAAAAAAGGGATGAAAATGTTATTGCCAACATATTGAGATCATGGAATCATAGAGCTGAAACAGACCACAAGGGCCATTCAGTCCACCCCTGCCATTTGGGAACACACAAAGCACTCCAGGTAGATGGTCATCCAACCTCTGCTTACAAACCTCCAGAGAAGGAGACTCCAACACACTCTGAGGTGGCATATCCCACTGCCGAACAGTTCTTCCTAAACTTTAGGTGGAATCTTTTTTTCCTGCAATTTGAATCAATCATTCCATGTCCTAGTCTCCAGGGGAGCACAAAACAAGCTTGCTCCTTCATCAATGTGACATCTTTTCAAATATTTAAACTTGACTTTTATGTCCCCTCTTAGGTTTTATTTATCGAAGCTAAACATTCCCAGTTTCCTTAGTTGCTCCTCATAGGGCTTGGCTTCCAAACCTTTGATCATTTTGGTTGTCCTTTTCTGATAACGTTCTAATCGGTCAATGTCCTTCGTGAACTGTGGTACACAGAACTGGTGTTCAGTTCCAGTGTTGTACTCCTGGTGAAGTTTCACCAAAACAGAATAGAATGGGACTATGTTTTCACTCCGTCGACACTATATTCCTTTTGAGCTTAAAATCCCATTGGCTTTTTAAGCTGCTGAATCACACTGTTGGTTCATGTTCATCTTGTGGCCTATTAAGAGTCTTAGATCCCTTTCACGTGTACTGTTTTCAAGCCCTGTGTCACCCATCCTATAACTGTGCACTTTATTTTTATTGCCCAAGTGTAGTACCATACATTTCTCCTCGTTGAAATTCATTTTGTTAGTTTTGGTCCAGCTCTCTAATCTGTTAAGGTCATTTTGGATTCTGATCCTGATCTTCAGGATATTAGCTATCTCTCCCAATTTTGTATCACCTTCAGATTTGATAAGCATGCCATTTATTCCATAGTCGAAATCATAAAGCTATTGAATAGCATTGGGTCCAGAACCAAACCTTGTGGCACCCAACTAGTCACTTCTCTCCAGGATGAGGAGGAGCCATTGGTAGGCACCTTTTTGGATTTGGCCAGTCAACTAATTCCCAATCTACCTAATAGTAACATTGCACATAAGACTGGAAACCTATTGGCAGCCAGTGCTATTCCTTTAGAACTTGTGTTATGTGATATGTGAATGAAATTCCAGTCTAGCTACTGCATTTACAAAAGACAGCCCATTATAAATCCCACTCTAGTAATCTAATTGGGGAATTAATAGTCCATGAATTACTGTGGCTAAGTTATCCTTTCCTAAAAAGGCCATAGCTGATGAACCAGTCAAAGCTGTCACCTTGCACTCGGAACCAACTAATTTCTTTCTGTGGATCTAGATGGATCTAGAAGTATCCTGAACTACACAACTGTTCCTTCAGAATGTATGCAATCCCTTCCAGATAATTTCCCCATTTCCCAGACTTGAGAATTTCCAATCCACAGAGCCTTTGTTTTATCAGGATTCAATTTCAGTTAATTCACCCTTATTTCTCTCTTCCCCTCTCGTGCCATCCATGTAACACATTGATTATCCAGGTCTTACTTTATGTTACCTTCATCTAGCAGACACCATGGTTTTAGAATTTGCCACATCACCTGTTTATCAGGTGTTGTCTCATGCACCAACTTGCAGGATTGCCTCTGGTATGGGTTTGTGGTTTATGTTTGCATATCTTAAGGGAACATCTGGCAGTCTTCACAGACTTGAAATCTAAATTACTTTATTCCCATTTCTTTAATAATAAGACAGGGAGTAGGCAGCCACGGTCACACATCTTATAATCTGTGTCCTACAATCTGAGCGAAGGAAGATGGATGCTTTTGAACTGTGGTGTTGGAGGAAAGTTCTGAGAGTGCCTTGGACCCCGAGAAGATCCAACCAATTCATACTTCAGGAAATAAAGCCTGACTGCTAATTGGAGGGAAGGATATTAGAGACCAAGATGAAGTATTTTGGCCACATAATGAGAAGACAGAAAAGCTTAGAGAAGACAATTATTCTGGGGAAAATGTAAGGAAAAAGGAAGAGGGGCTGACCAAGGGCAAGATGAATGGATGGCATACTTGAAGTGACCTTGAAGGAGCTGGGGGTGGTGACGGCCGACAGGGAGCTCTGGCATGGGCTGGTCCATGAAGTCACAAAGAGTTGGAAGCAACTGAACGAATGAACAACAAACAATCTGTGGGTTTTTAAAAGTTTATTTGCACTCTTTTGATGTTATTCCAAGGAGTTGCCATTTGAGTTTTGTCTGGCTTGTGACACCGTTCTCTTGAAATGGCCTTGCAGATAGCAGGGGAACCAATGTATAATAGTGTTGCCTACTCCCATCTGCTAGAACCACCTCGTAAGATACCATGATTAATGCTATATCAATGAAAGATCCAGGAGAATCAGCAAGGTAGCACTCACCCTGTCTGTAGGTTGTCAGCCAGAGCAATCAAGACTCTAGATATCATACTCTGGACTAAAACTAGACTGAAATGGGTCCAGATAATCCGTTTCTTCCAAGTATATCTGACACTAGCTAGTCACCACACATTCAAGCACCTCGCCAAAATAAAAGCTATTAGTGATAGGGCAGAAGTGGTAACATACCTCTGGGTCCAACAAGGTCCTTTTTAGGAGAGGGCACACTACAGCCTCCTTAAAGACAGCAGGCATCTCCCCCTAGACATTTACAATCCCTTGGAGGAGGAGCTTGAAAACATGGTTGTTCCAGTGTGCCTTCCCAGAATAAGGAAACTCCAAGCAATATGTCCCCAAATGCACTTTACTAGAGACCCAGGATATCTGCATGCCCCATCCCCCTCCAAATAACAACAACTCCAAATTACCTACCTTTTCACCTGGTCATGCCCAGCATATTTTTAATTTTAACTATTACATTTGGCCCTGCCATAGATTTTAATGCGTCGTGCTGTGTTGTAAATGTTTATTGCTTTGTTTTGAGTTCATTTTGTTGTATTGTTGTTGTTGTTATTTTTACTGATGCATTTGGGCTCGGCCTCCTGTAAGCCGCACCAAGTCCTTGGGGAGATGGTAGTGGGGTATAAATAAAGGTTTATTATTATTATTATTATTATTATTATTGGACCCACCCAACCAATACACATCTGCTAGATTGTAAGAGCAAAGACTGACAAGGATCAAGACTACTTGTGATGAGATGGACATCTTGTCCCCATAATCAGTCTGCAACAACTGAAATAGATTTTAAGAAAATTGATCAGATGATGCAGTGAATACCTTCCCAAACAATTCAATAACCTGTTCTGAATAATAATGATAATAATGACCAAATCTAAAAAGGTGTTTTTACCAATAATAACTATCATTATATAATACTTAAACACAAACCATTACACATTAAAATTATCCATACATATAAAAATGTTAATTTAAAATTCATAGTTTAAAATGGACTAGATACGAATCACTTTTTGCTTTAATGCCTGGCAAATTTATCACAGCAGGCAATCTGAGTGTGACCTCAATATACCCTTCATTATTTGAAATATTCTGCTGGATGGTGTGCTGAAAATAGCATAAAGGAGGAATAATACCTTTTGTCACTTTCACTGCTTCATAGTAGGCATAAAATAGTCTTTGTCTGCCTTCACTTTTATTCATTCCATGACCTATGCCACCTGCACTCTAGCCTTCATCTAGCCTATTTCATTGCCTGTAGAAACTGATGATTTCACTGATAGCTCCGATAGCTGAAGAGATTCATCCTCCAGCTAGGAAACTCTTGACCTCCGCCCTATCCCTGATTTCCTCCACTAATTTTTTTAATGAGTAAATTAACATTACCCTAGGAATTCATCAGTTGTTTATCATCTTCAGGACACTGAGCTGGTGGACTTGCGAGAAACTATTGATTTTTTAAAGAAAAAGAATTCAGAAGCTCAGGCGGTTATACAGGGAGCTCTAAATGGGACGGACATTACACCCAAAGGTGAGCACAGTTTTCTACATAGTGTCCTTGTGGTCCTACAAATGTTTTGCTTGAATCCACTGCTAAATAGCTTCTGTTAGGACAGTGGTGGGCCCCAACCATCAATGTTGTAGGCTACATCTCCCACTAGACCTCCGAGGACTTTTTTGCCTAACCCTCAGTACCATTTTAATTTTTTGTGTGATGTAAAAAGGACTGGTAAAGGTATGGAGGGGACATAAGTTCTGAGAGAGGTGTCTTAGGAATAATTTAACCATGTTTTGGGCTTTTTCTGGACTGATTTGGGTCTAGGAGAGACCTATCTCTGCACCGAGATGTGAATTGACTATGCTGCATCCTTACTGTTTTCCTCTTCCCTTATGCCTCTCTTGACTTTATGACTTTTTGATTACTAATTTTCCCCCAGCAAGAATTGTAGCCTTTTTGGGTGTTTACAGACTGGCCTTAAGTAATACCATACATTTCCAAACTTACCAAGGAAACTGAATGTCCTGGATTGAAATGAATAACTTCTACCAAAAGTTACTATACAGTTGCATAGGAATTTGCTAGGTCATCTAGGGTAGAAGCATATTATAGAATTGCCCAGAAGACCTATAAAATCCCTATTTTGTTGGGCCGGTCCCAGGAGAACTAAGGTTATACTGTAGTACATCAGCAGGAACAAAGCACTTTTTGTTTGTGGTTGAGAAGCAATAATTGATCATCTGGGTGCTGTGGATTGTGAGTCCTTGCTTTGCTGTATCTCCAGAGCTGCGGATCAAGAGGCAAAACTCCTCGGATAGCATATCTAGCCTGAACAGCATCACCAGCCATTCCAGCATTGGCAGTGGCAAGGATGCAGATGCCAAGAAGAAGAAAAAGAAAAGTTGGGTAGGTTAAGGAAGAGAGAAATGGGGGTTGGGGAATAAGTGGGCTATATGTGGGAATGAAACCCTGTTCTGTGTGCTGAGTTCATCCTGAGACAAATGAGGTGTCAGGGCCAGGAGCCTGTGGAAATTCTTTAGATTACACAAGAGCAGATATCTCTGCTAAGTAATTACTGTGGTTCTGGAATATAAATGAGAATCTGCTCAGGCTCCCAGGCTGGATTTGTTATTGAGCAATATTTGTCAGATGTGCTAGGCTGAGTCATGTTGTGGATGTGTTGGCCCAACAGGTAGATGGGTGATAATCTAACAGTGATGCTATCATTGTTGTTTTTTAAGTCAAGCTTTTATTGTAATAATTCTACATGCACTTCAAATGTTCCCAGCATGCTTCCCGTTAAATGACCTTTCTATTCTCAGCTTCCTCACTGTGAGGTGACCTTTAAGTATGCTGAGATTTTATGCTCTTCAGGTTATTTTGAGCCAGAAATCAAACCAGAAATGGTATCAGGTTTTGAGGTTACCTTAAAAATGAAAAGAGCAAGCTGAACTGAAACAGACTGTGGACATTTAAAAATGCATGTGGAAAACTTAGAATAAAGGACTCGACTCTTAAAATCATGATTGCATCACAACCTTTCTGCATGGCAAGTTATTACTTGTATTGCTGATGCGATCGTTGTTTTCCTCTATGTGTACTGTGCAGTCTTATCTTTCCCCACTAAACTCAAAAAGAGGGTGAGAGCTCAGTAGGTGTGCAACCCCCTTAGGAGGGCTGGTACAGAAGACTATCCTGTGGGCTGCCCTAAGCACCCCAGCTTCTGATGGGCGGGGATCTGAGCTGAACGCATGATTAAGTCTTGCTGTGTTTTTTTCCCCCTCTTCCTACAATGCTGATCCCAACCCCCTTTTTTCCAGGTGTATGAGGTAAGCGTCAAACCACCCTGTCCCCGTCCCATACACCCTGTACCCTACTGCCTTCACCAGTCCTTTCCTTGTGTTTTATTCCTGACTGGTCACTTCATTGTCTTGGGACCACACAGCACTGTAAAACTAACCATCCCATTCACTCTTACACCTGCACTGCCAAGCCACACATCAAGGGGCCACTGCACTGGTGCTGAGGGAAAGCTTCACATCTGTTGCTAACATACCTTTGAATTCACTGTAATGCTACCCAGCCTGGCAACTGTTCTTAAAGTCTAGAAAATCAATGGAGATGAGGAAATGATCTAAGAGAATTTGTATAGTAAGGGAGGGAACCCACTAGGAGAAAGCTTAGTAATAAGATGTAATATCCTCCTTCTGTCACAAGTGACTACTGAAACATTAAGTTATGCACCAGAAGAATGAAAGGGAGGGCCGTATACTACCAAATATAATGTTCTTCTAAATTTTCCAGTTTATATTGAAAAACTGAAAGATGAAGCTATGTGTTAATATCTTTCCTCAATTTCTCTTGGTCCAATTGAGGAAAGGCTCCAGATTAAGGAAATATTTTGTTGCAGATATCATCATTTAGAATAATTTTGTGAGCTACTCTTGGGGAATCTGTAAAACGGAAGGATATAAAACACGCTAGCATGCTGGCTAGGTTTTTAAAATCAAGATCAAGTCAAAATTCTGTTGAGGACATTTCCTTCTGTAGCGTTACTCCCCTTCAAATGGTGCAGGCAATGAGATTCAATAAAAAAGTCTGATATCTGTCTGACTAAAGACATGAATGAAAGGTCTGGAAGGCAACCATACTAAAAATTCTTTATACCTGGAGACATCTTCAGCACTGGTGTCAATAAGATCAGGTTTGACTCTTGAAGACACATCAATCCCAAGGCTCATGGTTCACATCTGGCCTACCACCTCATCTTATGTGGTCCGCAAGGCTTTCAATCCCAGGGCAACATAGCTACATTTATACAGTTTTACAATTGCAACTGGCCCTTTGAAGGTAACCTTAAGGCTGATGTGGCCCTCAGTGAAAATGAGTATGATATCTCTGCTCTAGAATCAAAAGCAGCTGTTCAATGTTGTAATGGCTTAAGCCAACTTGGAAATTGGAATGAAAGGAAAGTGACTTTATAACCCAGATCCTCACAGATGCCACTTGAGTCCAATGCAGGTTTTAGGATTCATTTATTTTTAAGGTGGAAGTGCGGATTCATTCATAATAATAGTCAAATGTGTTTCAGCTCAAAAATATTTGTAAAGCCTTTTCAACATAGGCTACACAAATATATATATATACAGAGACCATTATACCATAATTACATGCACAGTTGTCCCTCCACATTTGCATTTTTGACTTTTGCAAATTTGATTATTTGTGGATTTGATTTAAAATATTCTTTCTATGAATCTCTAGGTCTCCTAGCTGACTCTATGGTCAACTTCCTCCAGCCATGCTGGGAGACCTGGAGATTACTGGAGAGAACTCCTCATAACAATTTCTTCATGGATTTCACTTTCAAGGCTACCCTGTGCCCCTAACTCCAGTAAATTGGGGGGGGGGGGGTTTGGCTGTAAATACATGTCTCATGTAAAAATTTATATGTAATATTGTAAAGGATGGCCAAATAAAACATAAAAACCCTACATCCAAGCTATTATTCTACATGTATACTTAAACAATATAAAAATCTTCCTCTAGGAATTCACGAAACTGTTTCCAAGATATCATAATTGGCTTCTGATGGTTTTCAGAGGGGGAGTATTATACTCCTACAGACTTTTCTGTATGTAGCAAAGTAGTGGAATAAATGCACCCTCCAGGGGTTGGTGAATTGTATCTTCCAGCAACCCTAAACAGCACAGCTAAGGGTGGAAAATGTGACATGTTGTAGTCCATCAGTATCTGGAAGGCCATGCGATTTCCAACCCAGTGTAGCAGATAGGGTTTATTGGCAGCAGAATGAAAATATGGAGAGTGTATAGAAATCCAGGCTGTAAAGGAGGAGGATGAACTCCAGATCACTATTGAGGCTGTTAGGAATTGGAATTCTAACTTGCAATACCCAAGCCATCTCGCTTCTCATTGCTGTCTTATCATTAGAAAAACACTGTTTGTGTTTAAATGCCATTTGAAGCCAGGTAAGATGGTAGCAGAGATTCAAGCACTGACACAGCTCCAGTCCCATGGCCACTTGTGTGCTCCCAAGCTGACTTGTGAAGAGGGTAGCAAGTAAACTCTCCCCATTCCAATAGCCCCTTTGCCCATTACAGTGGCTATTCTCCTCGCTACTGCCTTGATACATGTGTGGACTGATGCTTGCTTTGTGCCTGTGTGAGTGTGTGCGCATGCATGTTGCATGCTCTGCCTGAGCATGGTTGGAATTGCATATTAATTATACCCTTCAAGAGCAAAAAATACAGGGTTTTTTTTTGCTTTGTTGCAATATTGAGTGAGCCATTGCATATCAGGAGATAAACATTGTTTTTCCAGTCTCTCAGCAGCCATGTCTTTGAATGTGAGATGAATGCAATTCTTAGATCATGGCTCTATGCAGTTTTCCCACAAAAAACGGATACATTATATGCTTGGTTTTTGTGGGGGTGGGGGGAGAGGATTATCATTCTTATTTAACAAACTTGTAGCAGACTTTTGAACTGGAGTGGTAGTTTCAAGAGACAGGGTGCTCTTGATGTATGAATTGGCTATGAATTCCAATTGGACCACATTGAATGTGCATGACTCAGTTAATCAGAATAATTTGTGGTTATTAGTGGTTGAACTTGTAAGCAGTGGCATCACTTGGAGGGTGAATGGGATGTAAATGACACCCGGTGACACCAACAGAGGAAGTCTATAAACTCTATTGTATTTTATTTTTTGAACTTTCTAATGCACATGTGCTCCAGTCAGAGTTGTCATAGTTACGCAATTACAATGATGCTTTGAATTATGTGATTTTTACTGTATGCGCTACTTGAATGCGCTGTTATTTTCTTGCTGGTTTTTTTTATGGTTGTTGATTTTGTATATTATTGCTGTTGTTGGTGGTGATGATGGTGCTGCTGCTAGATAGATTTATTTATGCAGTCCCATCAAATGTACATGGCGCTTTACAGTAAAACAACCAAAAAGAGTGGATCCTTCCAAAAGCATACATTCTAAAATCTGTGTGTATGCATACACAGAAGGAAGGAGTGATAATAAAACACAATGAGTTACCACATTGAGTGACATCTACCCTAGTGATGCAACTGTTTGTAAGTACTTGACGGTCTGTTTGTATTTTGTACCTTTTCTGTGCTACAACTCTACAAATGTCAGCATATTAGCATTGGCACTGTTATGTTAGAAAATGCAAAAGACACCATGCCATAATAATGAGTAGGTTCATTTTGTAGCTTGCACACAAGGCATGAAGTTAAACGCATGGTCTCAGCTGCTGATTGTGAACATACTTTTGGCTGTGAGCAAGTCTAATTTCTGCATGTTAAATTGTCCTTGTTGCTTCTGTAGTAGATAGGATAGATCAGATGCTTATTTTCCCAGTAAAATTCCAATAGAGAAAGAGACAGAGAGAGAAAAATCTGGTACATGTCTTAGGTTTTTTTTTTTTTTACCAACCTGCAAGAGATAATCTTTTAGGAGGCACAGGTCATACCTCAGGCTTCTTATGTTCCTTAGTTGGTCACAAGAAAGCATAATTTGTAAGTTTTACTTCCCTTATGTGTAGAGTATGATGATTAAAAATCACAAGAGTGGTGTGATACCTTGTAGAATAAGAACTTTTGCAATCATTTCAGCTTTCTGGCCGAAAGCAGACTTGGCTTGACATGTTTCACATTTGATGGGGAACTAGAATTGCTCTTGATCCCTGCAGTCTGGGATGCCAAGCTGTGGAAATTGGCATGCTCAAAATTAACCAGTATTGCTGCTGGATCCATTTTCTGAACATTCTAGAATCTACTGCTTAGTTGTTTGGGGAGTATATTTAAGGTAGGTGTTAATGCAGATTAGATCTCATACCCTAAAGGCACCAGATCCTGTCTGATCTTGGAAGCTAAGCAGAGTCAGCCCTGATTCATACTTTGATGAAAGACTGACAACAAATGCCAGGTGCTGTAGGCTATTTCAGAGGAAGGAACTGAAAAAAAAGCTACCTCTACATGTTCCTTACTTTTAAAAAAGTCTATGAAATTTATGAGGGTCACCATATGTCAACAGGGAACTTGGAGGCACACACACACATCTTTCTTAACACTTGGGTCCTATTTGGATTGATTACATTCATGTTTAAATACTGCTAAAAGCTAAAATCAGTGTATACCTATGCGTGGAGAAGGAATTGTAATTAGTCTTAAAGCTTATAATGATGGAACCCAAGATTAGTTATACCAGCATGAAGACTGTGCATTCACACTCTTTCAGGACTATTTGGAGAGTTATGAAATGTGTGTTGTTTCAATTGGTGGTGACACTTGGTTTTGAGCTGGGGTGAGAAGTAGGTTAAAAGTAAATCTCAAATACTCAAAGTCTGGAAATGTAAAATGTAATTGAGAGTCAAAATCACAGTGTAGAGAAGGTCCATTGTTACTGTGTGCAATGTAATGTTGGCATAAGATGCCTTTGGCATCTGCTCATCCCATGGTGCAGCATCCTCTGCTTTTCAGAAGTCAATCCTGCAGGGGCTTTTTCAACCCTTTCTACATCTCCGTTTTCTCCTTCAGTTGAGGAGCTCTTTCAACAAAGCTTTCAGCATCAAGAAGGGCCCCAAATCTGCTTCTTCCTATTCTGACATAGAGGAAATTGCCACCCCAGACTCTTCAGCACCATCATCTCCCAAGCTGCAACATGGATCCACAGAGACAGCATCACCTTCCATCAAATCTTCCAATTCTTCTTCTGTAGGAATTGATACCACTGAGTAAGTCCAGCCCTTGCCACCTGAGGGTTGAAAGTCAATGGGCAGTTTACCACTTGGAGCATCTTTATATGTTGTGAACCATACTACCTATCTCATCAATTGCCAGGGCCAGAATAGTTCAGTCAGCTGTAAGATAGATGGATTCAAAGTAGTCATGGTATCTAACATTTGTGAGATGAGCAATAAAAGTTTCTCCATTCATCCTGCAGAATTGTATACAGTCTAGATACCAGCTAATGCCAGCTGAAGTAGGAGAGGTAGAGAGTTGCCTTTTTTGCAAATACAGGTTGAATCTCCATTATCCAAAATGCTTGGGACCAGAGATTTTTGAATTTTGGAATACCTATATTTACATAAACATAGTAAATGAGGGATGGAGTGGGAAAGGAAACTAGTCACACACCCAGTGCCTACTGCATTTTTCTGAAGTAAACAAATCACTATGTTGAAGCTTTTCTACATTGGCTGGGTGTTCAGGGAGGACTAAATAGTGTAGCAGTAATTTGCAGAGCACCTGTCCAATACTTGTGGGCATGACAAAGGTTCCAGGCCCTGACATCAGAGTACAGTAGTGATAATTGCCTGCTCCCAAAAAGCCTGGTAGAGGAGTCCTCAACTGCTACAAGTATCTCAGCTCTTACCCTCCTCTAGGCTTTATTGACATTTGTGCATCAGTCTTACATCCTATCTGAATATCTTCTCACCCAGGCTCTTTCAGACCAATGAAGAGGAAGAGCCTGAGAAAAAGGAGGTCTCGGAGCTGCGCTCAGAGCTGTGGGAAAAGGAAATGAAACTGACTGACATTCGTCTTGAAGCCCTAAACTCAGCCCATCAACTTGACCAACTACGCGAAACGATGCACAACATGCAGGTGTGTATGCTATAAGCATGATTGTCATTGTGAACGTATCAGGTCAGATTACAGAAGAAAGTCATCAACATTGCCATATACAATGAAGAGCACACATTCTCAAATATTCATGAAGTAGTATCACTTACAGCCAGCCTGTCTCTCAGCACAGAGCCTTGCAGGTGTGATGGGACAGCCACTCCCATATTATCCAGCTTGTGCAAGCATTGGCCATGTTGTCTAGAAGTGATTGAAATTGTAGTCCAACAATCTGGAATGCACTACATTGGGGAAAGATGTTCTGAGAAAATGTCAGTTTCGACAGCAAACCAGATCTAGCCTGTGGCTTTCAGTATGTCATTTAGGTAACAGTTTATATGGCTATGCTGTCTCCTCTGTTGTTTAGTTATGAGTTTCTGTGATTTGACAACATTGCTAATAAGCTAGATCTTTCCAGACACCTGTACAAAGGGACCTCAGAAACTGCATTTGATTCTGGAATAAATAAGATTGAGGGATCCCTCATTCTGCAACCAGATCACCTAACTCTGCTTTTTCTCCATTCCCTGTAGCTGGAAGTAGATTTATTGAAAGCGGAGAATGACCGGCTGAAGGTTACTCCTGGACCCTCTTCTCTGCCCAGTTCAATTCCCAGTCATATCTTGAGCTCAACTACTGCCTCTTCCCCCAGGCGCTCTTTAGGACTCCAGCTTAGTCACCCATTCAGTCCCAGCTTGACTGATACAGGTATGAACATTAAAAGAGGGTAAAAAGAGAATTGAAAGCTCTAAAATGATCTGTTTATTTTCTGCTGCAGAATATCTATTTCTTTGTTTATCTAAACTTCTCTGGGTGTGATAGGGTGGGCCAGGAGAGGGGCTCAAAAATTATAACATGGATCATATTTGGATACACTGAGAGTGAGGGTAGTGTGCTGTTATGCAGATTGTCTTGCCTTATCTTCTCGAGCTGGATGTGTTGGCTCATTCCAGTTCTGCTTGAAGTACACAATTTTGCCCTTGCTTTACTGACATTCAATTAATGTCAGAGAATCTGCCAAGTGGACATGTGAGGAAGGGAAAAATGAAGCTCAGGGCAGTGGAAGAGTTGCACTGAAGACTTTTTTAAAAGACAGAATTAATGAAAGAGAACAAAAATAATATTTTCAAAACATAAAGACATATTCTACATTCTAACGGAAAACATGAGAACAGGGATGATGGCTAAGACAGCAAGATTTTTTGTTGTTGTTGTTGTCTGCATCAGAGATCCTGGCAACACCATCCAGTGATAATTGGTATCTTCTTTTACCCAGAGTGTACACTGTGTTCTTCTCCTTTTAGAGCTGTCACCAATGGATGGCATCACTGCCGGCACCCAGAAGGATGAGGTGACACTTCGAATTGTAGTGCGCATGCCACCTCAGCACATCATCAAAGGGGTAAACACCACTGAAAGGGTGGGAAGTGTGAAATCTGGGGACAGTCCCATCCATATTATTCAATGTGGATTCTCTACCGAGAGATTACAGTTGCCATTATAAACTGGTGGTAGAGCTTTCCCACTCATATATGCTTATATCTGTGTTTTGGCTTCCAGGACCTGAAGCAGCAGGAGTTTTATCTGGGCAGCAGCAAACTGAATGGGAAATTGGACTGGAAAATGCTGGATGAAGCTGTGTGTCAGGTCTTCAAGGTGAGATGCTAATGGCAGCTTTTGACTGTACAGAATTTTCCAGGAATGTTATTTGAAATATGTGGGATGTTGGACAATTAAGATTTAAGTAGGTCACTCTCTGCCTTCTCCTACTTTCCCCTCCTGGCTAGAAGACTAAACTAGAAAGTTTAAAATACAATTGCTAATTCAGGCAAACTATCTGTTCCTGTTGGCCTCAACATTTGAGCATATTTTCACCCTGGAATGTCCTTTCATAAGTGAGTCAGCAATGGAGAAAGAAATGGAAAGACATTTCCATGTCCAGCAAAGGTAAGTAGCTCTGCAGAGGCATAACAGCAATAGATATCTTCCCTGAACTGTGGAACAAGAAATAGTAAGCAGTACAAATCAGTAGCTGTTTATCGCACTGTCCTGCTTTGCAGAAGGAAGTTTAACATGGAGTTGAGGAATATACATTCCAACAGATGTTCTTGGACTATGACCCCCTCCACCATCCCTCCCAACAGTTCGCCATGCTGGTTGATGGGATTTGAAGTCCAACAACATCTGGTTGGGAGATAGCAGGCACACTGACTTACCTGCTTTAGTGTGGCATAACTGGATATAATTCAGAAAAAAATCTTCAATGGATTTATCAGCTAGGCATGGCTGAGACTTTAATAAACCAGTTCTGCTTTCCCCACATCTGTCCAAGGATGGAGCCAAGAGTGATTTGAAATGGAAGAAATGTGTACTACAGTATGATGCAATATATGTATTAACACAGAGTTCGTTGTCTTTTTAAAAAATAAAAAAAAAGTATTGTGTGAAGATGATATACAGAATATACATAATACAGGTAGATCTGTCCACCAAACCTATCCCCCTCCTCCCATCATGAACTTCCAACACCCTCAGTGTGAAATTAATATAAAAGAGCTACCCTTATCTTTATATTAATCAGTTCCCCTTGCTGCTACGTTAAAGTCTTCATTTGTCTTCCTTTCTAAATATTCAAATGCAAGTCTCCATTTTCTAACAAAATCTTTATTATTTCCTCCCCAAATACCATTGGAGAGCTTGGCCATTTGAATATAGTCTAATAATTTTCTTCTCCAGTCCTTTATAAGTAACTCCTTTCCCCTTCCATGATTTTGCTATTATTAATCTTGCTCAGAGTTAATTGCCCGTGTGTGGATCCTTATGTAGTTAAAATGGCCTCATTAACAAGAGAGAAGTATCAGCAGGCTTGAGGGAAAAGGGACTGCAAAAATGCCAAACAAAAAATAGTATTAAAAACCAACAAGTCTTATTAATGTTGAAAATGCACAAGAAGCTCAGTAAGTCCTGGAGATGCCCAGTGGCTCTGGAATGCTGAATCTCTGGCAGAGGATCATAGAACAAAGCACTTTGGTTGTCACTGGATCACTGAACAAAAGTATTTGAGATTTTTATGCTTTGCTGTAAATCCCATGGTTGTAACTGCTAATAATATTTATATCCCACATTTTTTCTAAAGAGCTTCTGATATGTTATATGTCCCTTCTTTTATCTTCACAATAATTCTGTGAGGCAGGTTGTACTAAAAGACATGGTGAGTGGCCCAAGTTGATTTCCCACTCCCCAGCTTCATGGGGAGTTTCACTCTGGAATTCCCTCCCAAAAACCATTCAGCCTCCTGCATACTTTCCTATTTCTAGATGTCATTGTGGAACTTAAATAGTGAAGAAAATTGCTAAGAAGAAACTCAGTGCTTTTGAAATGTAATACTGGATAAGTTTTTATGGATACAGTGAACTGCTAAAAAAGGCAAATAACCAGTCCTGGAGCAAATCAAATTGGAACTCTCCCAATAAGCAAAGATGACTAAACTGAGAACTGTCGTACTGTGCTTGATGAAGTAGAAGGCATTAAAGAAAGAGGCAGACCATATTATAGATGTATAAACCCAATCACAGTCCTAAGACTTGAGCATGGTTTTTGATGATATGATGACTTGGAAGCTTCTCATCCATATGATCATCATAAGTCAAAGTTGACTTTGACTTGACAGTAGTTCTATTGTGTTGAACTTATTCTTGTTGTTTTGCAGCTGTCTCTGACTATCTCTCAAGCAACAAGGTTAAGTTCATTAAACCCAATAAAATACATTAAACTCTATCTATTATTTAAGTTTCCCAATGCCATTAGTAGTTTTCCCTTCTTCCTTAAATCTAAAATTCTGTATCATCTCTCTGTGCCAGCACAATACTCTGTCAGTTTCAGTTTCAGACCCTGTTTGAATATTCCAGAGGCATATCTCTGCCTTTTGGTACATTGTGTTCCTCTGCCTTCACAGTCTCCCTGAGCTGTGATTAGTTGCCTTCAAGCCAGGTCTCCCCAGCACTTCATTCACAGGTGGCATTTCTGTTCTATTGTAACATGAATTGTTTCATTTTCTATTTATCTTTAGACTATCTTGATTTCTGGTGGCTTTAAAGGCAAAATTTTCAGTGAGACATTTGAATCAATCTAAAGTTTGGCTTACTAATAAAACTTGACTCTCTCTCTCTGTTTCCAATCAGGATTATATCACCAAGATGGACCCTGCTCTCACACTAGGGCTCAGCACTGAATCGGTCTATGGCTATAGCATCAGCCACATCAAGCGGGTTTTGGACACAGAGCCACCAGAACTGCCACCTTGTCGAAGGGGTGTGACCAGCATTGTTGTGACATTAAAGGGTACAGCTGAACATTTTTTTAAAAAAAATACATTATGTTACTGTGTACCTTCAGATGCACAACCCCGATATTCATAGAATCATAGAATTGGAAGATACCTTGTGGGCCATCCAGTCCAACCACCTGCCAAGAAGCAGGAAAATTGCATTCAAAGCACCCCTGTCAGATGTTCATTCAGCCTATGTTTAAAAGCCTCCAAAGAAGGAGCTCTACCACACTCCAGGGCAGAGAGTTCCCCTGCTGAACAGCTCTCATAGTTAGGAAGTTCTTCCTAACATTCAGGTGGAATCTCCTTTCTTGTAATATGATCTAAATCTATATATATAAATCTGAAACTGGCGTTAAACGGAGCCACAAAACTCAAAAACCCCCAACGGAAATTAACCAAAATTCCCATGCACCTACCTCAACCCACTAGGTACAAACAAACCGAATCAAAATGAAAAACAACACAACAACACACTCACAAAACGACAAAACAACTGAGCATGCGCAATGGTGCCCAGCCGCCAGTTCCCCTGCGCGCGCACATGGCCTGCTGGCCAACGCTCCCTCCACGAAGCCCCGCCCCCATCCTCCCTCGCCACGCAAAGCCGGAGAGCCTAAGTTAGCTTACGTGGAGCCCTTTGCCCATGCTCCCCGTTGGGAAGCAGCAGCGCCGCAGCCGAGTGCCGCAGCCTTCCCTCGGCAGGAAAAAAAGCCCCAGCCGACGGGAGGAGCGCTCCGAGGCGCTGCCTGTGGGACCGCGCTTGGAAAGCTACTGAGGCGAAACACAAGGAATGCTGCTTCCGCCGCCGCTCTTCCCTCTCGGCTCTTCCGTCTTCCCTCCCTCTGCCCCCCCTTCCTTCTTGCCTTTTTGGACGACTCCGGCCAGAGGGAGGGACGACGGAAGAGCAGCAAAAGAGGCGAGTGCTGGGAAGGGAAGGGAAGGGAAGGGAAAGGCGGGGGGGGGGGAGAGGAAGGGGAGGCTCCACAACACAACACAACATCTCACAACAGAAGGAGTGACCATCACTCAAACAATTATGATTTTGTCATTTGGGAGATGTAGTTCCTGGGATTTATAGTTCCCCTACAATCAAAGAGCATTCTGGACTCCACCAATGATGGAATTGAACCAAACTTGGCACACAGAACTCCCATGACAAACAGAAAATACTGGAAAGGCTTGGAGGGCATTGACCTTGAGTTTGGGAGTTGTAGTTCACCTACATCCAGACAGCACTGTGGACTCAAACAATGATGGATCTGGACCAAACTTGGCATAAGCATTCAGTACGCCCAAATATGAACACAGATGGAGTTTGGGGGAAATAGACCTTGACATTTGGAGTTGTAGTCACTGGGATTCACAGTTCACCTACAATCAAAGAGCATCCTGAACCCCACCAACGACAGAATTGGGGCAAACTTGCCACACTGAACCCCCATGAACAACAGAAAATACTCAAGTTTACACACAAGCATAAAGAAGGGGGAGGAAGGAGGGATGCGAGAGAGGGAGAGAGAGAAAGAGGGGAAAGGAAGGAGTGTGTGAGAGAGAAAGAGGGAAAGAGAACAAGAGAAGGAAGGAAGAGAGAAGAAAGGAGGAAGTGAGGCCAGGCAGAGACTTCAAAACTCTTACTATAGGCCACAGCAACGTGTGGCAGGGCACAGCTAGTTAGATCTAAAACTCTGAACACTGAGTATCCTAGAGCAGTTTTTTCTAGGCATATAAAATTATGTTTAAAACTGAATGTTGTATATGCTGGGCCAAATGTACCCTTCCTTTTGTTTACATCCTGAAAAATTCTAAGCTGCTAACAGTGTATCAGGACCAGGAAGAGAACAAAGGAAAAAAAAGGGGGGCTTGAGTGAGGGTAGTAAGGTTCAGAAGTAGTGATGATACAGTGAAGCTCTGTATTAGTCAAGATTTAGGGATGTATCCAATTCTCCAAATCACCTGCTGTGCTTGCCTATTTGCAGCAAATATTCTTTGTCTGATCTTGCTATTGGATTGAAGTAGAAGTTACATACTGTATCTGAATCCATTTCATTTGGTCATTTAACAGTTAGTTTTCATTGAAAACTAGTCTGCGTGTTCCCTGTCTCCGTTTTTCCTTCTTTGCATACAAGTTCCTGCCTTTAGCTTAAAACAAACTATAGTTCTCTGTGATGGGGTAATCTGGGAAACTGTGGTTTGTTTTAGCAAAGGTTCTGTAAACCAGGGTCAAACAATGAGTTGGAGGACATCCTGTAAATCAAGGTCAGACAATAATACAGCATCCTGTGTATATAGTGAAAACAAACCATAGTTTCCTGAACCTAACCAAGATCAGAGAAGTAATGTTTGGCTGCCAAGTTCAGTGGTTCTCAGTCTATGAGTCCCCAGGTGTTTTGGCCTACAACTCCCAGAAATTCCAGCCAGTTTATCAGCTGTTAGGATTTTGGGGAGTTGAAGGCCAAAACATCTGGGGACCCACATGTTGAGAACCACTGTACTATATAGAAATAAGTTACTCCACAGAAAAAGAATGGCTCAGCATGGTGTCAGCGAAAGGAATTAACATCACTTCCAAAGTCTAAAAGATTGAGGATAACTCTGGAACAAAAGAGCCTGCTATGGTTCAGGAGGGGCAGTGATGATGGAAAAAGGAGTTGAGAGTTCCTGGTGTGTGTATGGTGGATGTCTTGTAACATCACATTCTTTTGCATAGGCTTGAAAGAGAAGTGTGTGGACAGCTTGGTATTTGAGACTCTTATCCCCAAGCCAATGATGCAGCACTACATCAGCCTTCTGCTCAAGCATCGACGCCTCATCCTTTCTGGGCCAAGTGGAACTGGCAAAACCTACCTGACCAACCGTCTGGCTGAGTATTTGGTGGAGCGCTCAGGCCGTGAAGTCACCGATGGTATTGTCAACACTTTCAACATGCACCAGCAATCATGCAAGGTTTGGAAGTTTGTCTGAGACTGTCTGTTTTTTACATTTCTATCAGAAGACTAATCTCTGTTTTAGGTCAAACTAGCTGAAAGTCTTTAGTCCTAAATCAGTTTTGTTGTATTTTCAGCTGACAAACTTCATGAATGCTTAGCATTTTTATCTTTTCAGTTCTACCCTTTAGATATTTCAAAATACTCTCAGTTAATTGGATATCAGATTTCATCACTGACTACTTAAATTTCACCGTTTTTCATTATTTTGCTTACGTGCTCTTCTTGTAGTCCTGACTTGTTTTTAATCACTATTTGGGCATCTTTCTTACCATCCTTGCATTTCTCCATTGAGTGTGTGTGTATGTATGTCTATATATATGAGTGTGTGTGTGTGTATGTGTGTATTTCCATGATACCACACTGACCTGTCTTTTGCATCATTCCTTACCAGGACCTACAGCTTTACCTCTCTAACCTGGCCAACCAGATTGATAGAGAAACAGGGATAGATGTGCCATTAGTCATTCTCCTTGATGACCTTAGTGAACCTGGCTCTATCAGTGAACTTGTCAATGGAGCACTCACCTGCAAGTATCATAAATGGTAAGAGATTTCTTTATACTGGCAGTGCAATTCTGATCTGCATTTCCTCCTACCTGTGGTGCACCTTTCATAGGGATAGTTGTCAAGAATGCCATGGCTTTAGAATTGCTAACCATCAGCATTATCTCACTCTTAGCTTTCATTTCTCCCCCCTGGATTTTATTTCTGTAGCATAAAGAGCAAAGGATTGTAGCATTCCTGCCAAGGACCTTGAATGACTAGTGGGTTTGCTTTTCCAAGATTGTCTTGCTGCCTGCTTTCCAGAATGAGACAGTGGGTGTGTCATACATTATATTTTGTGCTAGCTCAGATTTATGGAATTCCTCCCAGGAAAAGATGACCATCACCCTACTATATGTTCAGTTGAATTTTGCCGGACAGAGGTGTGTCTGCAATACTATGAGTCTCTGGAATCCTTTGGCCTAATAAAGAGTTTCATATGATATCCAAGGGACATACAAGGATTTATTTTATACTTGTTTTGTATAGTAAAATCTTACACCTGTTCTCTGTGGGCAAAATAATTATTCAAGATTGCTTTCAGTATCATGAGATCATAAATGTAGCTCATAATCTTATTAAAGGAACCCCCACATCTCCCTCCCTGCCACTTGACAGTATTTTCTTTCTCTTCTGAAAAAATACCATATTATTGCATTGTTATAAGAAGAGATTGATAGGGAAGATAAAGTACTTTGTTAGTCTACATGTTTCTTAAAATAGGTATGGGATAGATACATTACTGTGGTCTTTTCCAATTGTGCATCTTTATTATCTATAGATCTGCTGATACCAATATTCCTGGTAGGATTATTAGGTATGCCGCTTGTGGATACTGGGGTTTGTTGGATAACTCATTTTGGAGGATACATAGCTGAAGAAGGTAGCCCTAGTGGATAATCTAGCTATAAGAAATCACAAATAATGGGTTTTTGTTCTTCACCTCCAGCCCCTATATCATTGGGACAACCAACCAGCCTGTCAAGATGACTCCAAATCATGGCCTCCATCTCAGTTTCAGGTAAGTACATCCAGAGTGAAACCACTCAAGACAGCAAGTTAAGTCTGAGTCTTTAAATAACACCCCCAGTTCCTTAGTAGATTTAAAACCATTGTTGCATGTGCTCATGAGGAGAGTACATTTGCTCTCTCTTGATCTAAAACAGAGTGAAGGAACACAGTGATGGCTGAAGAACACTTAATTGGGGTTGTGCTGGAAGGATCAAAAAAGCAGATGCAATCTAGGAACCAAAATTAACCAAATAAACCTAGCCAAACCATTGCATTGTCTAAAATGCTTTTTCTTCTGTCTCCAAATAAAATAACATTCTTAACAAGATAACTAGGCCTGGGTAACAACGGAAAATTTGTTTCTAAAATCGATTTGTATTTGGGGGGTTTTTTTGTTTCGATATTTTAAATAATTACAAAATTTTCCTTTTAAAAAGTTCGATATTTACGAAATTTCGTAAATGGTAAAAAATTTAACGAATCGATTTCTGAAACAATAACGAATCGATTCGTTAATGGCGGACGCGACCGCGAAATACGCTTAAAAACCTCCAAAACCTTCTGAAGCTTCCCTCTCCCTCTGTTGTTGACTGTTGGTGTGATATTATAATTTTTTTTCACTAATTAAACCATAAAACTTGCCCAGACATGCGGAAATAATAACGAAACGACCTAAACAATAACGAAACGAATACAATAACGAAATACGAAGCATTTACAAAACGTGTTTAAAAATTCGTTTTTTTTAATAATTGCTCCAGAATGGTTCGTTATCGTTTTGTAATTGAAAAAATTAACGAATTATTAACGAATTACGAATTAACGAAACGAAACCGCCCAGCCCTAAAGATAACGACACAGCTGCTTTTTGTTCAGTAGTAATAATGGATGGTGCCAGGACACATCCATGTACACATTCTCTCTCTTGCTCTCTCACTGTCCTTCTCTCTCTTTTGTACTAAAACACTCTCTTGCTTGCAGAAATTATGGAGGCAGGAGGTAACCCCCCCCTGTATTTTTTGACTTTGCTCCTTAGATGATGTCTTATAAGCTGACCAATCCAAAAGGGTCCATCAGCTGCATAGAGAGCAGCTAAAGGTCACTTGAAAGCCACAGTTTACCCAGCTGCTGTCTAGATAAAGCTTTGAAAGGGAGTTCCTTACTTGAGAGCCATTCATTTTTTTTTCTTTTCTCATTGCTCATCTTTTCCTTTACTCTTCAGGATGCTGACATTCTCTAATAATGTGGAGCCAGCAAATGGCTTCCTAGTGCGCTACCTGCGTCGGAAGCTGCTTGAGTCTGATAGTGATGTCAATGCCAACCGAGAAGAGTTGTTGCGTGTACTAGACTGGGTGCCTAAGCTTTGGTATCATCTGCACACCTTCCTGGAGAAACACAGCACCTCTGATTTCCTCATTGGTAAGGCTTGAGTTTTCCTGGTGCCATCAAGGAGCAGCTTTGGCCTTCTAGAAACTGGGCTGAAAAACAGCAATGAAAACAAACTTAGGATAAAGTTAAAACTTATTTCACTCTTTAATTTAAAAAAATGGACTCCAAGGCACATTGCTGAATGGAAGCTGTGACCTATCGTTTCGCATATTTATTATGATGCTGTTATTGGTTTAAGACTGCTCCTGCCATTTTAAATTTAGGATTATATAAACTTCTCCATATGCCAGAATTCCTGTCATTGCTGATTCTTAGACCCAAATTGAATTCATAGATCTCTTTTTGGTTACAAAATCATAGAATCATAAAGTTGGAAGAGACCTCATGGGCCATCACACCACCTGCCAGGAATCAGGAAAACTGCATTCAAAGCACCCTGACAGATGGCCACCCAGCCACCCAGTCCATCCCTTTCACTCACATATCAGAAGCAGAAATGAACACTTTCCTGGTTTAGTAAGAAGATGTCAGAGGACCTAACCACACTAACATAATCAATGCATTTTGTGGAGTTTTCACACTGATTAGTAACTCATCCTCCCTTCCCTACTTTCATTTTTAGGACCTTGTTTCTTCCTTTCATGCCCAATTGGTATAGAGGATTTCCGAACCTGGTTTATTGACTTATGGAACAATTCCATCATTCCCTACCTTCAGGAGGGAGCAAAGGATGGAATCAAGGTATTTTCTCCTATATATTCATTCCCACTAAGTATTCTTAGCCTATATCCATATGTTTACATGGATTGCATGGTAGTCTTTCTGCTCTGTTAAACCATCTTGCAACAAAACTTCTTTCTTGCCACTCCAATTATGACATGAACTTGGTCTCAGCTGTCATCCTATTTTTTTCATCAAAAGATGGGAAGAAGGGTAACTTTTGTTCTGTCTGATGACACAAATGCAAAATCAGTATTCTTACTTATCCTCATTTTAGGTGCATGGGCAGAAAGCAGCCTGGGAGGACCCTGTAGAATGGGTGCGAGATACATTGCCATGGCCTTCGGCCCAGCAAGATCAATCAAAGCTCTATCACCTTCCCCCACCCAGTGTGGGTCCCCATAATTCGGTCTCCCCTCCAGAGGAACGGAGCGGCAAGGATTCTACACCTAACTCTCTGGAATCAGATCCCTTGGTAAGTCTTCAGACTGTAGGAACTAAGCTAGGATGTGCACTGGGTTAGGTAGGGGCTAAAGGTGGTGATGATTAAGGACAAAACCAAAAGAGTTAGCAGTGTATACAGCCAAACTATTTTTCTTTCTCTTTCCTTTTTTGTTTCTTTCTCACCAACTAAAAATCTCCCAATTTTTCTATAACTTGAGAAGGGATGATTTCCATAAGACAAATAATGGATTTTTCATAGATGCCATAGCTCATGCAAATTGAAGTCTAACTCTTCAAAACTATAACATTCCCATTCTATAAAAAATATCACTTGGAGTATGGATGGCAGTGATATTCAACTTACTGAGCTAGAGTAAGCTGTGGGCTGAGATCTCAGTTCAGCTCAGCTCTAAATAAGTGGCTTATTCAAGTGTTATAACCTTCTTCATAAGAAACAAGAGCCTTGAAATGACTGTGCAGGTAGCACTGTAAAGATGTGGCCACAGGGTGGCATGAAAGGATAAGATAAAGAAAGAAACTGGCTCCACGTTGTAACAAAGCAGACTATGTAGTGAATAATAGTTGTTGACATCGTTATTATTATTATTATTATTATTATTATTATTATTATTATTTACCCACCTCTCCTCATGGCTCAGCACAGTCAAAAACACAATCATTGCAAAAATTCTATAAACACACGTATTAAAATGTTGTACTATAAAAGATATATATTAAAACATATTTCTATAAAATGCATATTAAATACACAAGGCAGAGATTAAAACACAGGGCACACAAGTTTAAAATTCATGCTTAAAACTGGCTGGGTAGACTTGCCGGAAGAGATAGATCCTTAGATGAGTTTTAAATTCCAATGGCTCATTTAGCTGTTGGAGCTCTTCCAGCAGGTAGTTCCACAGTATTCGGTGGCCAAGGAAAAGGTCCTCTGGGTGACAGTCACCAGTCTGGTTCTGGCAGGCTGGAGTAGCCACCTCCCAGAGGACCTAAGCATGTGGGGTGGATTGTATAGGTGGAGGCAATCATGTAGCCTTGCCATGTAGGACTTTAAAAGTCAAAACCAACACCTTATACTTTGCCCAGAAACTAATTGGCAGCCAGTGGAATGACATTTTGATAGGTGTAATATGCTCACTCCTGGATGTTCCCGTAACCAATCTGACTGCCATATTTTGAACCAGTTGGAGTTTCTGAACTTGGTACAAAGATAACCAAATAAAAACACATTGCAGACATCTAACCTTGCATGCACACACATACATCTGCAATAACCTTAGTGCTGATCCTCACAAAAACTTACCCAGTTTTCTATATACCTTAACAGAACCCTCTCTGGCCTCCTGGAATCTCAAAAGATCCATTAGCCTTTGAAGGTGGAGCATTTTAATTGGTCCTCTACCCCTAGAGTGGGAGGTTGTAGCTGTGATGCTAGCCCTGACCAGAATGTTATCTGTCCATGACAACTCAGAGGTCTTGATCTCCTCTGCCCACAGATCCATACATTCCGAGCTGAAAATTATTTCACTGGTATGGCCTGCCGAATGCCTCAGTCCAGAAACCAATTGGGATAGGGCTATGTTTGTCATGGATACCATGAACTCCCAAACTGTATTTAATAAATAAGCCTTTAGTGGTATGTTGAAGTCAGAAGCAAAAGTTTAGGTGACTCCAACAACAACTCCGAGACCAGTTCCGTGAGCTCGGCCAGGGAGTCTGTTAGGCAATGGGATGGATGGTACACTAACAGAATCCCATCTGTCTCTGGTTTTCAGACTCAGGTAAACACATTCAATGTGGTTCAGCTCCCTAGTAGGCAATCTGATCCCCCACCCACCCACTTTCCCTCACCTGCTCACTGACACAGTACCTGACTGTGTTAGTGAGCAGGTTGGCCCACTATCATCTCCAGCCAAGTTTCAGTGAAGCATGGCGGCTCAGCCCTTCATCTTTGAGGAGATCATAGATTATATGTGTCTTATTCTCAACTGGCCTGGCATTATTTAAGAGCTAGGCTCACTCTCCCAAGTTCCCTGAGCTAGCAGGGTGACCTGAAGGTAAGATAGATATTAAACACCTTTCTCTCCTTCCTCTATAAGGGCGCGTGAGCCTGCCATCTCTCTGTTACCTAAATAGTGGTTGTTCTGTTTATAGGAAATCTAGAATGGGTCAAAGATAAAATGGGGAGATTTAGTAAGGACTTGAACAGTTGAGTAAGGACTTGAAGAGACTTGAAAATAAAACAAGTTGTAATTGAAATATTTGGATTTATGCTAATGTTTTGCTTTATTGGGCTTCTTCCACTGTGTAGATGGCAATGTTGCTGAAGCTCCAGGAAGCTGCCAACTACATTGAATCTCCTGACCGAGAAACCCTTGACCCCAATGTGCAGTCTGCACTCTAAAGACAACTGGATCAGGATGGAACGGAGACTGGAGTGAGCTGGTCTCAGCTGCCTTCGCTCCTAGTTCTTCATTTTTTTGTTACCTGGAACTGTGGTGTCAAAAGAACACCACAGAGGGTGGGAAGTGCCCATCACTTGCTCTGGGAACTGTGCAGATAGATGGACAACAAAACTAAAGGCAGTCTGCTGCCCCTCTGCAAGATACTGCTCCCTCCCTCAAAGACAACGGTGGTGGGAGCTTCTGTCATAAACTTCTGGGCTTTGTGGTATGAGCAGAGGGTCATTTATAAATCCCTCAAGGGTGCCTACTGTAGAGGATCTGGTGTGGGTAGAAACTCTGAAGACCACCTCACAGGACCAGCTGTTGCACTTCTTCGGGGCAATGCTGGGTGGTAGCCAAGCTTGTGGTCACCTAAAACCAGGATCTTTTTATAGAAAAAAGAGAAAGGAAACCCCAGAAAAGAACCCAGTAAGCATCGGAGTGGAAGAGTCACTCCTGCAGCAAAACCAGCTACTACCACAGCTGTTTCCCTCTGGATGCTGCCCCTCAGCTTCCCTGCCACAAGAACCATAGGCAAAGGCCTAGGACTGTTAACTCTGTCGTTGTACCTTCATTATTTAATCTGCATGGTGGTCCTTTTACATTCAGACTCCCAATAAACTTGGCTTTCATTTTTTTTTCTTCTCCCCCATTATTTTATTTTGGTTAAGCTGGGCCATTTTGTTTGCTCTTTGGTTGTCAACAACCGCGTTTCATTTTGTTTCTAACCACCTTGTCTTGGTTCCACAGGGAGGAGCCATTTGATTTAATTGTGTTCTCCCCTCTCCCCATTCTTTTTCCACACTCTTTGTGTTTTTATCACTCTGTATATTTCATCACTGTGGTCCCTTTACCTTGAAATTGGTGCTGACTGGATGATCTCCAGTAACCACACCCGCCTTGTGAGTCCTTGCAGCTTGCATCAGATGCACACAGGGTTGAATTAGCAGCACAACCATCTCAAAGTTGCACAATTTGCTGATAGGCTCCAGGTCCTTTTCTGTACTTTATTATTCCATTTGTAAAAGCACAAGAGGCCTGCAAACAGAGAATGAGGGGAGGGGGAGAATGCTTCATTACAGTCCACTCTTTTGGACAGCAAAACTGTCAAATATCTTCTTGACTAAAGATGTCTCTCAACTTTGCCCTGCATATTGATAGGCTAATGTGACTCACCTTTTTTCTTTTTTCTTTTTGTTCTGCTCACTTTATGGGGAGAGGACAGCACTTCATTAACAAGAATGTTTCCTCAGTATTTATACATTCCATGTTGAAATTTGGATTTCAGTTACTTCATTTCTTATTGATGAGAGGGGCTAACATTGTTTTCCTCAATGTGCAGGAACAGGTTTATTGGCTAAATTGTTTCTTTCCTTCCTGGCAGCTTTCCAGGGACTGACAACAGATGGCTCTGGGACCGGTCCATGGACCACCACTTAGTTGATTTCCAAAGATGGTAGTCACCAGATGGGCCAACTCTCACTCTACCTGCTGTCTTCCAGATGTTTGTGCTACAGCTCCTCTTATCCTTGATCACTGGCCAGTATAGCTAGGGTTGATGGGAGTTCTGATCCCAAACATCTGAACGGCGTCAGTTTTAGGAACATAATCCTGCCAAATCATACATGCACACACATATACATGTTTTCCTTCCTGGTGCTGCAGAGCAAAGCCATACTCTGGTCTATGTTCCTATATTGATTGATCTGTTCAATTTGATATATAAGTTGGTGTGCTTTACCTTTTGATTACAAATTAGGATTTGCTCCAGTGCAATTTCTTTAAAAATCTGTGGGAAACCATTTCTAGCATCTTGTTAATTGGGAAGAGAGCTTATAGAGCCTTCCACAAACCCTTCATCATAATTAGTCCTAATTAGCAATTGGATTTTAGTTTTGATGGTTTCTTTGAAAAGTAAATTATAGTAACAGGTTAGTAGCTCAGTACCCTCACATATCAAATTGATCTGCCAGTGAGTTTGAAGTCACTTGTCTACTTATCCTGATGAGTTTGAGAATAGTCATAGTACAGCTGCCAGCTTTTAAAGCTCATATTCCATAAAGGATCTATTCATGTTCCCGAAGAATATATTTAACATAATGCAGAAGGCAGAATTTAAACAATAGTTTCTCTGTGAAATGTTGTCTTCCCATCCATGGTCTTTGTTTATACATTAACTTTAAATGCATCATTCATATGAGATTTTACCATACAGTATATAATATAGAAGCCAATAGTGTTTATTTAAAATTGAATAATTATTACCTAGTTGTGTAGATAAAATGTGCTGTGCCAAATATCTTAAGGATTTCTCTTCAAATTGCTATAGGTCATGCATAGCCCTTGTATAGTTCTGAGCATTTTTAGACCACACTTCCCATGCTTTCAGAATTCTCTCTGTAATCATGAATTCTATAAAGTGTGCTTTTAGAAAGTGAGTGGAATTTCTCAGGACTCCAAATTATGTGCCAAGTTCCAGATTTGCACACTCTTCACAGGGAATGTATATAATTTCAGAAGTCCATTTCCCACTTTGCCATAGTGAGCCTCCTGAAATTTAAAAAATATTCAGTAACCATGATGAGAAGAATATTGATGTGATGAGAATCTCCTCGATTCTGTGGAAAATAGTCACGTGGCTGTTTTGTATAGAAAGCAGCATTTTATGCACATGAAACAACATTTTCTGCACAGAACACAATATTTTCTCCACAGGACACAATATTTTCTCTGCAGAAAATATTTCTACTTAGAAAGTGATGCAATTCCATGCAATATAATTTGGTACATTTTGTGCAAAATTCACATGGGAGTAAATAAATATAGAATTAAATGGGAGATTTTTGCAGTGCTTTCCTTGAGCCATGAACTGCATGACAAATCAATTTGTCAAAAGCCAGACTGTCAAGGATACAAAAGAGACACGCTTAGCTCTGTTTCTTGTAGGTAGTCCTTGCAGTCCCCTCCACCCCACCCCTTTAGCACCCGCTTTAGATTTCTCATAACCATTAGTAAACTTGCCTCATATTTTTAAAAGCCATTTAACTATTAACAACACATTCTTTGTTTGATTGCACTATACACCACCACTTCCCCACTTGGTCCTGTCCATATGTGTTGCTCTGTAACTACTACCATCACCAGTCAGAAATCACAGAACTTCAGGAGCTGTTCATACCTAGGGGACACCTGGGAAGAGAGGCTGCCCTACAGAATGAATTGCTCAAACTTCAACAAAGTTGTATATCCTCTGAGCCTTTTTGAGACTCATATGACTTTCAGGCAAACTGGCTGCTTATCTCTACTTTTGTCTATTCTGAGTCAGTCTGTACCGGCCACTCATACTCTAGCCAACCTGGTAGTGTTGATAGCTAAGGGGGTCTCCCTAGTAAGTGGTGGTCTACCCAGAGGGAAAGGAAGTGTCACAGATGTTTATTTTCTGTTTGCACTTACCTCACCAACCTCCTGTACAAGTAGAGCACACTTCATTGTCTGGAGGATGGGTATTCAAGATAAATGCTCACACTTGGAGGAAGGCTCTTGTGCTTCAATGGGAAGTTGTGCTGCTGTCAAACTGTGAAAATCTAAGCAAAATGCAATTTGAATGACTGGACTATGGCAATGCCCATGGTCCTGAAACTCTGCCTTAATGTCACCATTGAAAAAAGGGGCAGTGAGTGGGAGATTTGGCAAATCTTTGTGAGTTTTTTTTACTACATGAAGAAGCTGTGGTGATTTTATTAACCCAAACCAGGATAAATGCTGGTTCTCCCATCTTTACTTCAAGGAGCATGTGGCAGGGTAACATTTATGCCTTCTGTGTTAAGCTTGTATTTGCTCCCGTTGCTGGCAGTGTTGTTTGAAACTCTTTAAGGGACTGATAAAAAATAGACTGGCAGGTTCCTTTCACTACAAGGTACCAAGACATAGTATACAAATTCAACTTTACTTCCCTGCCTATACGCCCAATTGCATCTAATTAGTGGCCCCCTCATTCCTTTGCTAGAGAGACATTGGAGAAAGCTAAGCCAGGCATTGCTCCCATCTCAAGATTTGAATAGGCCACTTATAAGAAATGTTTAACAGATTTCTTTTGTTAAAAAAATCTGTTCCTTAGGCTGGAATAAAGAGTACTGCCCAATTTATCATTTACCAGCAGATCTTCTTCCTATTTTTTTTATGCAGCTAGACCAGCTAGCAGACCTCAGAAAATTAGAGCTGTGGTTTACTCCTTAGAAAAATGCAGAGACTCTGCATCGGTTTTGGAATCTAGTGGTTTACACAGCCAGGAAAGGGTTAGTGTCTCTTCTGACTCAGGGGAGGGCCAACCAAAGTTATATTGCTGATGAGAACATTTCTTGATTTTGCCTTCAAGGGACAAGGAGCCATTTGTCCAGGCCGCTAGGTTTTAGACCAGGAACCCTTCATTTCCTGTTCCCTCTTCCTCCTGCTGCTCTCTAGGGCAAAAATAGATATCTGCCTCCTCTTTTGCCCCTTTCCAGATACTCTCTTATCTCCTTTTCATCCTTGGAGGATCACTATTGAGATCGCCCCAATGATGACCTGGGGTTTTAAATAAGACTAACTTGCGAAGCTGCAATGGCAGAAGGCATCGACTTTGGCTATAGACATGGCTCCATCTGACTTCTGTTGGCATTCTTTCCCTGTTCTCTACATGATGGTTGTGCATTGGTCCAATTTATTGAACAGGCAACAGTAAGACCCATGCATTTAAAGTGAGCCAAGATATATATTTAATTCTTTTTCTAAAATTTGAGAGTGGGACAGGTTTCTGTTCATCTTTCTGTTTTGTTTGCTATGGGTATGGGCCATCCCATTTATACCTTATAAGGTTATCCCCCTACACACTCACCCATTCCCTATATTAGATTTCTCTTATTGCACAAAGTTATTAACAGACAGTTTAGCTATGAATTTGAATTTCTCCAAAGACATCAAGCACATGGCAAATAGGAACATTTGCACCTTTGACCTCTCATTTCACAGGAAAGTCCCATTTTGAAACTTGAGGTACATTTTCATATTACAAAGACATAGCTGTGTTAGTCTGGCATATCAGTTTGCAAAGAGATCTTATAGCACCTTTAGAGACTAATGTAGAGAACAAACATAAACTTAAATCTACTTCCTCAGATTTTCAGATTGGTTACTCCTGAGCAGAGGTTTTTAAATGTTTCCAAGTTTAGTTAGATGTACCCTATTTTTGAACTGGATGGTTGGATGAAAAATATTCTAACATGCCTATGCAGCTTTGGGTCCAATTGAAGTCCCCAGTGAACATTCCAAAAAAGCCTTCCAGCCTATATGAAGGTTGTAACATCTTTATGATTGGGGGGTTAATTGTAGAAAATATCAAGCAAACTTGTAGGTGATTATAGATGACATTGCATCCTCAGTCTAAATATTCTAATCTACCACAAGATAGTTGCCTGGCGAAACAGAGGCCAGAAGGTACTGAACATTCCTATTTCTAAATTGTATGTAAGGATTGTAAAACCAGAGTCCTTTTTTGTAAGAAACATAAAACCCCCTCCTTTCTCCTGGCTCCCCCTTGGTGTACCAGTAACCTGTGTTCAGAGCAGACTAAGCGCCTCATTGCGTAGAAGTGAAATGAGG